TCACCAAGCCTCTGGGCTCGTCTCAATTTGCTAGTCTACGTAGGCTCCTGGGTATGAAAACTATCTCGTGATGAACTTGAGGGGGTGTGTTATGGTAAAAACCTAGGTATGGTTTTAAGGTAGTTATGGTCAAGTACATCACGAGCAAGGAGAAGGATGGAAGGATGAAATGGTCAGGTGTGAAGTGGTTTCAAGGGTGGTATAGATATGGAAGAACGTACCTTTTGGGAGCAATACTGATCCGCATTGAGTGTTAGGTGTTACCAGTAGTTATCTAGATTTCCCTTCTGGGCTAGCTCACACTCGTTGTCAAAATTTTTCTCTCTGCTTGTTTGTTGTGTGTTTTCTTATATACCTATGCTCTCTCTGACTCTGAGTTCTTTTCCTCACCGTTAGGAAAAGTTTCACTCAGAGTAAGTTCTTCTCCTCCAGCACATTGTATACCGCATCAAACACTCACCTCTCCTTGCTAGACTTTCCGCTTGCTTTTACTCCTGCTCTGTTGCAGGTAAGGCGTCGAGTTCTCTCCGCCCTTCTTATCTTTTATAAGTCTTTTCGAGTCTTTGAGCTCAATCATCTCACCTGTCTGTCCAGGTGAATACTTAGCTCTCTTTACTCGATCTTTCTCTCATTTATTATGTTTACTTGGAATATATATGACCGTTAGGAAAAGTTTCACTCAGAACTTTCCGCTTGCTTTTACTCCTGCTCTGTTGCAGGTAAGGCGTCGAGTTCTCTCCGCCCTTCTTATCTTTTATAAGTCTTTTCGAGTCTTTGAGCTCAATCATCTCACCTGTCTGTCCAGGTAAGGCGTTGAGTTCTCTCCGCCCTTCTTATCTTTTATAAGTCTTTTCGAGTCTTTGAGCTCAATCATCTCACCTGTCTGTCCAGGTGTGAACATCAGCTCAAGCGCGTAGAATTTCATTCCGCGTTCTGTTATTACAAAAACAGGTCCATAGTGTTCCAGTGAGTGTTCCATATATGTGTTTCAGCAGTTAAATTGACACAAGTTTTGACTTGAGCCATGCATAGTGGATACCATATAGTTCATGGAACAGGAAAAAGAATCTGAAAGCTTGGTTATCATGCATAAACATAAGGGATCAAGTTTTGTGGTTTGTTTGAAATGAATAAAATCAGAGTATCAAATTTCTAAGATACTTATAAGTTATACTAATAGAATAGTGCAAAAGTAAATGAAATGTTACGGTCTCAGGATAAAGCAAAACAAAATATTCTCTTAAAGGTATATGTTCTCAAGAACTTATAACAATCAACACTCAACCAAGCTCCAGAGTGTTGAAAAGGAACTTCACAAACTCTTTGAATGCAAAACTCTCACATATGTTTTTCTTGATTTTGTTGTTTCTTAGAAACTTGCTTTCAGCACTGAAAGGAAACTACCCAATAGATATTGAAGTCGGGAATATCCAGTAGAAGATATGATATGTATTTCAAACCGCCTTTGGGTCTGATATAAGTCAGCAAAACCATTCTCCCTTTGGCAAATCAAAATATCATTCATCATATAAAGAACATTTTGAATGCCTAGTGAACTAGAATATTTTGGTCAAAGTTGGCACAAGGTGTTAACCAAGTGGAATCTGCGACAGGGTGGATGTCACACCAGTAACAGGTAACACGCGAAGCTACTCTGGAAAGAGGGGCAACAGAATGGCTTCATGTCAGTTCACCCCAAGGAGTGTGCTGAACCTCAGACCGCATTTCGTTTCCTCCATCTGTCATGTGGTTGTCTCTCTTTCCCACTAATTTCATCCTTCATTGTTTTCAGAAACAGCAACTAAAAAGTACTATACTCATCTTACTATTATCCATCAATATTGTAAATTTATCATTTATTACAAAACTAGTTTCTACTATTGTTTCTATTTGTCATCCTTTAGTTTTGTAATATTTTTTATTTTCCCGCCCACCACCCTTCCTGTCAGACAGAGGGTTTAAGTCTTATGTGGTGCAAGCCTCAATTTCGTCATTATCTAGTTGTCAATTGTTTCTCTCAACGGAGCGGGAGGCATCCCAGTGGGAGATCCTAGCGCCAAGTGTGGCCACCCACAGTGCTCCTGATCATCTCCAGCCCCAGGCCAAAAATTCCATGCAATACCAGGCCCCCGGGCCACTATGCGTAGCTCAAGTGTCTGTTACCCATCAGCACCTAACTGATTCCACTTCAATCAGACAGGTATTGCTTTGAAGCATTAAAAGACAGTCTTCTTTGTGAGTGTTGTTTGAAGTGTTCAAAGTGGTAGTCTCCGTACCAAATTTCCATCATCAGGATATTCTTAAGAATGAAATTTTGTACACAGCATCAAATACAATATTGCAAGTTGGTCTTTGAAGCTGTGCAGTTTCTTTGACAACAGTAGCTAGCATATCCTCCTAGATGTTCAATCTTGATTTCATGATCAATTTCTTATCTCACAGTGCATCCATGTAGAGCCATATGGTCTTAGAAGATCATGTTTTAAAAGAGATGTGACCAGTGAAGATTGATCACTAGTAGTGAGTTGTTTCATGCATAAGGCTCGGCAAGGCCTCACCCGTTCACACAGAGGCACCCGCTGACCAGCAAGTGTATGGTGTACAGAGTAGCAGCCTAGCAGAAGTAATCAAAGCTTTCCATTAAGAAGTAAATCAATCACATTCATCAGTTGGTGCAATTTGTACAAGGGGCTCATGTTGTGATTCCTACTTGATGTTAAGTTTTTTGGAGATCCATATCATCATTCAACTTGTTTACATTGATGTCAACTACCACATTTCTCAACTTTGCCAACACTTCAATCACTTAACTTCACCTGATTTATTTTATTACAACCTTCAATTCCCTTCAGATACTGTGTATCATTATCTGTTGTATCATACTGCTATATCATAAGCCAGTGCGGGTGCGTGCGTTGGTAGCTGGAGGACAAAGAGATGTTGGCCCAGGCATTGCCCGGTGTGTAGTTGTGTCCCGGAAGGTAGATCACACTCAGAGTGAAGGTGTTATCTTGTGGGTCCAGGCAGATGAGCGCTGGCTATGACAAAAGGTTTGTATGATGTTTCTTTTGGTCAAGCACGTGGGAAGTATGTTAACCAATGCTGAAATGGGAAGGCTGCGTGTATGTATTTAGACATGTCTAGCGGCTAATTTCTAGCCGCTAGAAAATTACATGGCCCTTCTGATACTCCCAAGAGGACAGTGTAAAAATGCACCTCCCCTCATTTTTTTTTGAATATTCAAAGTTGTCATTTTTCATTTTTGCCTGTTCTGTGTTTTTTTTTTATTTGAAACCATGATCCAATTTTGAAGTTGAAAGTATAATACAAAGACAAAGGAAAGATCTTGTTGAAAATTGCTAGAAATTATTTAGAAACTTGAATATCTTGAATTATAAAAAAGTGTATTTGGTTGGGTTTGAACCTTGGTATTCATGGTGTATCATTGATACTGAGAAGGGGCCTGTTCAAGAGGCCTTTGGGTCAATCATAATCATAATCAACACTCATTCTCAACAATCAATACTCATACTCAACTAGGTATTACAAGTTGAAACCAGACGTGGTGGATTCTTGTAATACCTTTTGTGGGCTCAGTTTTGAGAATATTACATCACATCTTTTTACACCTCATGATGCAGTGTAAAAAATGTAGTGTAAAACTACATTTCAGGGTCACCTGATTTTTTCACCACATCTTTTGCACCTATGTATTTAACACTGACACAAAAACAAATGAAAAAGGTGTAAAATTCCATGAACCCATAAAAAATAATTCATCAAAATAGGAAAAGATGCCCTTCTTCCATGGCTGATATCATTACTGGACATGAAGCAGATTGATCTCAAGAGAAGAGACAGAGATCTCATAAGCCCAATGTCACTCCTGAAGTCTTAAAAACTCAAATTGTGAATAAATGAGAGTGTTCCATGAGGTATTTTTGCCAACAGTAGCTAGCACATATTCCAATCTTTTTTTCATTATTTATGGTTCATAGTTTTTCACACCAGTTAAACACTGTGTTATACAATGATCATGAAAGAAATTTACCAGTGATGATCAAGCTGTGACTCTGAGGGGAACTGCTGCAAGAACCTGTTTCTGACAAACAGTTTGAGCATTTGCAATTGAATGATGAAGCAGGCTTTGAAATATCTGCAACAGTGTTGAGAAAGAGACTTGAACTTGAATCACATGAGCTCAATTGGTCATTTAAGCTGTTTGATAAAGATCAAAGTACTGGTGGATATCAGGGATACATCAATACCGAGTGTAATGAATAATTCTTGGACTGGCAAATATACCCTGCAGGATTCTCCACATCATCAGCCAATTTGATATGTAGGCAAGAATGAATTTGTGAAGCGAGTCAAGAGATTTTAACAGGTTACATATATGTAAAACTACACAGCAGATCAAAGAAGGGCTTTAAATCCGATATCTGGTTGACCTGCTCGGAGATTTAACCGGTTATGATCCGGCTGAATGGTCACACATCATATCACTGCTCGAGATTTATCCCCGCTGAAGAGCAATTAAGTTGGTTGAACCACAGCGAATGTGTATGTACATATGTGATCCACCGCATGGTTTTCTAGTTCCGGCCCTCTAAATAAATAAAGATGGCGAGCAGAGAAATGACCTCTACAGTAGAATAGGCTATGTGCCTGTGCCTATGAGATATGTGCCTATGAGAGATGTGCCTATGAGAAGGCGTGTTTGAGGTCAGATGAGATTGTTTTAGGTACAAACCAGTCGAAGATTCGAGGAAGATTGATGATGAGGATGAGATTGAAATACACCCCAATGAGAAATATCAGTTTGAATCAGGTCTCAATGTTAAATTTAAATTTCAGTGGGCTGAAACCAGTTGAGAATTAGTGGTTAAGTGGTTAATTAAGTAGTTTTACCATTTAAATTCGAGTGATTTATGTACTCCTATCTCTTCTTTCTTTGCTTTGGATCGCCCTGTTTACCCAAACTAGCTAATTTACTCTTCAAGACCAACAACTCATCAAGAATAACAACAACTCATCATCTCTATCATCATATCATTCATATCAACTCATCATATCAACTCATAACAACAACAACATCATCAACATCAACAACAACTCATCATGTCGACCACAACGCCTACCAATCAACTTCCTCTACCTCACTTTCTCAATTTACCACTACCAACAATTCCGACTAACAATTCTCAATCACCTCAACCTCTTATGTTCAAACTGACTCTTTCTGCAGATCAATTTGCTGAACTGTTACGAGCGGATGGTGAAGTCGAGGAAGGCGAAGAGGGTGGATTACGATTAGAGTTCGAGTCAAGTGGAAAAGGCGTAGGTTTACCTACTTAATCGTCCTTCATTCATTCAACTTTTACTCACTCTCTTCATGATGATCGATTACAGAACCTTCATCTTAGTCCTACTAGCGTTTTACCCCTCGCTTCACCTCGATCTGGCCTACCTACCTCTAATAAGCCAGAGGAGATCTATCAGCATCAACAACAACCCGGTCTAGGTCGTGTACCTCTAACTGGATTGATGCGTATTCCAGTCGGCACTCCCACATTTGAGGTTCATCGTCCACCTCCGCCGCCACCTGTGGTGCCCGTCACTGCCCCTGCCCCTGTAACGGCTCCTGTCCCGCCTCGTCTCTCACCCCCTGAACCCGCACAAACTCGATCTACAGCCATGGCTCCTCCATTGAGTGATCAGCGGCAGAAGGAGAGGCTCGCAGGTCAACGTCTAAAGGAAAAACGAATGGAGGAAGAGCGAAGAAAGAAGGAGAAGCAGATGGTGGTCCTCACTGATGCGCCTGCCATCCCAGTAGCCAAAAAAGGGAAAGCCAAGGCAAAGACTGGTGAGTGATATACATGGTCACAGTACAGGATGCTTTCAGCCCTCTATCAATTGCACCTTCTTTTCAAGGCTGTATGTCATCGGTCTAAGTGTCTAAACTGACCTTCTTTCATTTAGGTGCTGCGAAAAATGTTGTCGATCGATCAAGGTCGAAAGCGCTTCCCCCAAAGCCAGCTACGTTACCTGCAGCACCTCTTCCTATCCGACGAGCTTTGCCCGGCTCCGCAACTGGTAAACAACTTGCTTCGGAGCATAACAATCAACATCTTCACGCGTCTACTGCAAACACTCCCACCATTACTCTCAATAATCCACCTCCACTTCCAGCTATCGACACTTCTGCTCATTCCGCTTCAATCCTACCGCCAGCACCCACTCAAGCTCGCATCCCATCCCCCCAACCGACAACTTACAAGAGGTCTAGTTCTAACAAGCGGGGCAATCAAAAATCAACGCCTCCCTCAAACGCATCGGATGAGACTTCTACTGCCGATAACACCGCCAAGCTCAGCGCAACCACGGCCATGACAAGTCTCTCTGAAGGCAGCGAGTCTGAGTTATCGCGCTCCAACGCTCACCCCGACCCTATGGATCGAGGTCCTCCTAAATCTATCTCATCGGCCTCACAGCCATCTCCATCTGAGCCAATCCGTAAGTCAGTTAGCACGGCGAAACCAGATCTCAGCAAGACTCGCAAAGAACCCCTCGCGGCTCAAGAGTCTTTCCTACCGCCACCACCTGCTCCTACGGTCAAACCCATCAGAGAACCCTCACCTTTACCGCCGGCGCCGATGCCAGTCTCGGCTACTTCATTACCTGTTGCACCTTTGCCGGCCAAGAAGAAAATGGTCAAAAAGGGACTCAATGGCAAACCTACTCAGGCTAAAAGAGTCATCAAGAGTTCCGCTACCGTTCATAGCGATGATGACGATGAAGATGACGATACAGAGAGAGAGGAACAGAGTCGAAGAGAAAGTGATGTGATTAACCGAAGAGCTCCATCCACCCAAGTGAGCACGGTTGCCAAAAAGAGGCGACCATTAGACGAGAGTACGACTCGGTATGATGAGCCATCAAGTCGACCAGCCAAACTGGCAAGAACAGACAGTGGGACTGGATCAACTGGACAAGCTACTCGACGTACGGACAGTCCAAGCGGTCGACTACAAGCTGGATCTGAATGGGATGATCCTCGTCAGAAACGAAACTCTGCTCAACCTATTGCCCGTAATTCTTCTGTGGTGGTTAGGAAAGTCGCGTCTACTTCAACCGAACGAGCTCCATCACCGGCCAACAAACCTTCGACGCAAACTAATATGTCGAATATCAAGAAGAAAAGACCACTTGAGGACGGAGCAGCGAGTGGGCCGGCAATGAATGGAAGTCAGGCACCAGAAAAGGAACCGGAGGTGAGACGATCTCATCCAATGGGAGTTGTTCTACCCACGATCCGCAAGATACAAGCAGCCACAGAAGATGGACGTGGTAGTGGGCAGAGCGATAATGATTCAAAGGATCATCATGGTCCATCGAAAAAGAAAAAGAAGAAACGTACAGTAGATTATACTAGTTCGGAAGACGAAGCAAGTGCTCCTACCCCTCAAGCCGGTCTCAATGGTACCCAGACCAACAATACTCATTTGGCTGTCAAGCGAGATCCATCACCTAGACCACCTCTTGTTTCAGAAGTTTCGTCACAATCTAATGCAACTAAGGCTATAGATGAATCTTCAATAAAGAAAACGAAATCGAATGGAGACCCGATCTTACCAAGTTTCAAACGACAATCTCAAACGGTCCCATCTATCAAGCGAGCACCAATTGAAGATAAACCGAACTCGAATTTAAATCGAACGATCTCATCTTCATCAGAATCTGAACAAGAAGAAATTGAAATTCGAAATTCCAATGGATATACCAAAGCAAGATTACGATTTTATTGGTTAACTTGTCATTATGGATATTTAATTGATAAATTAAATTCGATTAGATTAAAGAAAATCTATGGAATCGGATTAGAAGAGATTAAAGAAATGTTGGAAGAAGTGAAATGTCTTGAAGAAGAATTATCGATTAGAAAACATGCTTTAGAAAGGTATGGTGAATCATTAAAGAATGGTGATGGTCAACGTGGAAAGTAGGTAGTCAATTTAAACTTGAAACGAAAACAAAAAAAGGTTTCAGGAAAAAACAAAAGGAAACTTTATAGGAAACTTTATACCGACTGCGTGTGTTCTTTTTTTTTGATTGGAAACTTTGGATGTGTATGATGAGAGAGAGAGTGTTTGTTCGGTTTCTTTGTATAGTTTTTGTTAGTAGGTTTTCTAATATATATAAAAAATCAAAATTAGTATGTATTGATAAATATATTTTTTGATGGTTGGGCTGGTGTTGGAAAAAATATCTTTTTCTTTTCTTCTTCTTCTTTATATTATGTTATATTTATATATTCTGACTGTTTGGGAAACAGACAAGTTTTCTTTTCTTCATGATTTGTTTTCTATACAAACTTTTATATATATATCTTATTCCCTTTTATTTCATTTCGATTTCTTTGTGAATTTGTTTAGTGGAAATATAAGTTACACTTTTAATGTGTGTGTGTGTGTGTTTGTTTGACCAATTAGTTTAATTTGATGAAGGTTTTTTTATTTTTTTTCCTTTTTACTTTTCTATTCTTTCTTGTATCAAGATAGATTGGTTCTTTTGTGATTCTTTTTTTTTATTTAGTATTACTATGATGAGAAGAAAATCTATGTTGTTTGTTTTTTATGATGTGTTGATGTGTTGTTGAGATCTTTATTACCAATTCTTTTTTTTTAATTTGATGAGAGATCATGAAAGAGCGCAAGAGAGAGAAATCTGATATTGATTTTATCTGGATAAGATTACTCAAATGGAGTTTCACAATGTGATTTAAGATATCAAAATCATTGTCAACTGTTCTGGTTACCTAAAGCTCCCAAACTCATACCAATGCTACCACCCGGGCGTTCTTCTGGGAATGACCGGTGAATTAGCCGACAAAGAAACGATTTCAAAGGAGATAGGATTGTTATTTAACGGGTCGGCATGTTGATACTGAAGGAAACTTTGATGAGGCAAGCTATCTTATGAACACCCTTTTGAACACCTTCTCAGGCTTTACGCTGGTGATTAGTTTGCTGGAAACGAGGCTGGGTGAGATGACGATGTGAATGATTACCCTCGAATCAGTCTTGTGGCATCCCGGTGCATTCATTTTGCAAGTGCAATGTATTATTGAAATTGTCTCTTTTTATCAACTCTTTCATACCAGATTTGAATTACAACATTGGAATCTTATCATGAACAAGGCTTTGAATTCTGCGTGGTGATGAAAAGATCACGTGAAGAGTCAAGAAAGAGGTCTTGGGTAAGATAGATAGATCATCTGTGCTCAAAGCTATCAAAAATATTGTGAGGCGAGAGTAATGTATCAAGATCGACAAGAATTAAATTTTCACATATATATCTCTAGTAACTTAGGATGTCTTTTCATTAAGATGATTTTTTCGATTTGATTCACATAGATCAATGTAAAGTGAACTCAGGTGAGTAAATCCATTGCTTTGAAATCATTTGGGCTTAAACAGATGGTTTCTCCGTTCTTGAGATCAATGATGACAGTTGATGTGGAAGGGTCGTAAAAGGTTCAACGTTAAGATGATAAAGAAGAAACTGCAAAGAGAACATAATATAGAGATAACAAATGTAAAAAAAACTCAATAGAAATAAAATTGTTTGATAGATAAAAACAAAGAAGCAATCTTCTGATGATGAAATCGAGTCATAATAATAAAGTCATCTTTCAATCACTAAATTCCTAAATGTAAACTACCCTGATGTTGGTCATAATGGTTTGACTTGAACATATCTTCTACTGAAATGAAAGGGAATTCATTAATACCAAGTGTGAAAAATTAAAGATAAAAAGTCGTCTCAAAAAACCAATTTATCACTTACGTTGATCTAGGATGATTTAACTGAGCTAGCCTTTTCGGGTTGACGAGTGACAGGTTCATCGACTGCCACACAATCGGCATTGGAAGAAACACAATAAGGCTTTACTCCCAAGTCGAAATCTGGTTTGGCGTGTACGACTAATGTTCCTGGTGAAGTAGCAGATTGACCAAGAGAGCATGTAGCAGAACCAGATCCAGTTTTACCACCGGTTGGATAAAACTTGGAGTCTGCTCCGATAGTCGCTTTGATATATTGACCCGAACAGACTTTCCACTGAAATGAGTTGGTATTGATTAATATCAGGTGTGAAACTTATAGATAACAAGTGGGCTGAAGGTCCATTATAATTATATACTCACCTTATTTGAGGTTTTCTCAACCTTTTCAGGTTGACGAGTGACAGGTTCATCGACCGCCACACAATTGGCATTGGAAGAAACACAGTAAGGCTTTACTCCCAAGTCGAAATCCGGTTTGGCATGTACGACTAATGTTCCTGGTGAAGTAGCAGATTGACCGGGAGAGCATGTAGCAGAACCAGATCCAGTTTTACCACCGGTTGGATAAAACTTGGAGTCTGCGCCAATAGTCGCTTTGATATATTGAGCCGAACATACTTTCCACTGAAATGAGGAGGTACTGATTAATATCAAGTGTGAAATTTATAGATAACAAGTTGACTGGAGGTCTATTATAATTATATACTCACCTTATTTGAGGTTTTCTCAACCTTTTCAGGTTGACGAGTGACAGGTTCATCGACTGCCACACAATCGGCATTGGAAGAAACACAGTAAGGCTTTACTCCCAAGTCGAAATCCGGTTTGGCATGTACGACTAATGTTCCTTGTGAAGTAGCAGATTGGCCAAGAGAGCATGTAGCAGAACCAGATCCAGTTTTACCACCGGTTGGATAAAACTTGGAGTCTGCGCCGATAGTCGCCTTGATGTATTGAGCCGAACAAACCTTCCACTGAAATGAGGAAATACTATGATCAACGACCAAAAGCTGCTAATGTGTTTAATTTATTCTAAATAACTCACCTTGGTCGTATTTTCAGACTTGACTTGAGCAATGAGGAGTAAGACTACGGCAAAAGCCAACGTAGACAAGTTCTTTTTTTGCGAGGCTGACATCGTGTTCGAGTTCGAATGGTCCCTATATAGACATCATGAAAGTGTTGGGTGATAAATTGTAACAGAAATCGAGCAATTGGACAAAGGTAAATATTCGAAACCAGATGGAATCATGAAGCAATCATGCAAAGAAAACTTACCTGAGATATTGGTCAAAGATAATGTGAGGCGATGAGGAAAGGAAAACTATACGAGTAAGCGATAGAATCAGATGCAATGATGAAGGTGATGACAACAACAAAAGGTGCAACTGAAGCCTCCTATTTATAGACTTTGAGATGATGTTGACCACAGACCCACCATCTCAAGACTCACAAATCCTGTGATCTGGAATGATGCAGATTGACCTATTTCTATTGGGAAGACCAGCGTCATCTCCAACACGGGAATCGAATTCCCATTGATGAACTGCTAGCATTCCATAGGCGTAACTCATCCTCCGTGAGCTTAGGGCTGTCCTCGTAGTTTCGTTCATCAACGCCATATAGTGATCCGAAAACCAAAAGTAAAAGAAGCTTTTCCACTCCATCTGTCAATTTATTTCCACTTGGATGAATCTCTCGAACCCCCCGACCCATCACATCAGGCCTAGGCGTGATGACCAACATCCGCGAACAATGAATTGTTCATATACCATTCGTGTATTCCAATGGTGTCATTACATACTTCGTATCTGAAGTGTTGCTGTCAGACAGCAGTTACTAATGTTCAAATTGTCTTCAATGTGATGGTCAATCATTCCTTTGTGCTGATATCTCCTACTGAAGAAAAAAATCTTTCTTCCACCTACATCAACCTTAATGACCATACATAAATGGCGGTCAAAATCATTCCTGCAGAGCCGTGAAGAAAATGATCCCACTACATACCTGTCAGGTATATCGTAGATAATTAGTGATGCTCCTACATAAATCCAATCTTATTCCTTGCTTCAAGTAGTTGAAAGTTGTGCATACAGCTCATGTTGAGCTCTTCAGATATTATTGATAAAACTTGCTCACATGAAACTGCGATGCTTGCCAGCACTTGCTCCTGGCATGAAGAGTGTCGCTGATGCTCAAGATGAGCCGCATCATGGAAGCTTGTGTGTGAAACAAAACCTTGATGTAGGGTACCACAAAGCACAAGCTGCATTCGAGTGCTGTCTGTGGCAGTCATTTGATCATTTCAATTGGGTACGTAGTCTTGGTCTTGGTCCTATGTACTCGGCCAAACAGGCGTCAAGCTCGCTGGGCGGGTAGGATGCGCACTGCGCCGAGTATAGCCTGGTAACCTGGTTCATTGCGATTCATTTGAGCAACGCAGCCTGCTCAAGTTGAACCCAATGCGGTGTAAGTGTATCTATCACGATGGTATGGATCAGACTCGCATTCTGGTCGGTTTGGAACTTGGAATGGTAGTGAAGCCGCAGAGGGAGGCAGATTTGTGTTAGAGTCATGGTTGACTTTGACTGCTTCCAGTTTTCGTGTTCTTCCGGGTTTTATTGTCTCACACCCTGCATCCAACTTACCACCAACCCAACAGTATATCCGATTTAACAGTCGAGTCTCTTCTGCAGCATAGCCTCCTTTCGAGCTCATCAAATCCGAACGACCCAGCTTACCGTTGAACATCATCATGCCAGACGGTGCTCGCTATACTTTCAGACCCTCACCTCGAGTGATGCTGACATCTACGGCACCCAAATGTCCGACTTGCGATCGCTCTGTTTATGCTGCCGAGCAGGGTAAGCGTCTTTTTAGTCACACATCCTATGCCTATCTACCGATTCTGATCTTTTTGCGACATTTTGCTTTTTTGACCATCGATAGTGATGGGCCCTGGCGGCGCACCGTATCATAAGCCATGTCTCAAGTGTACTAGTTGTGGGCGTACATTGGATGCAGTGAACTTGTTCGAGCATGATCATGTCCCTTATTGCAAAATGTGCCATTCTAAAGCATTCGGAACTAAAGGTGTTGGTTATGGCAATGCTGTCGTGGGTGAATACGAGATGATACCCGGTCGCACATTATCGCCTGCACCAACGTCGCCTAGATCGCCGCCATCTTACCAAGTGGCTAAACCATCAGCAATATCATCACCTTCGTCTCATCACTCCCCCGCCTCTTTCTCACTCGATCCCGATCGATCGGCAAACTTTTCTTCACCGCCAAGCGATGCCTTTAACCGGCTAAGTCTTCATGGCAATTCACAGCATGTCTCAGTAGGAAAAGGTCTACAGAAAGATAAGAGGCTCATTAAGGATGATGATTTCGATGCTCCTATGTATTCACCTTCGCTTCGGCCCCAGACCACCACTCGCGACATCTCACCACCTCGCCCAAACAATGACCACATCCTGGGTTCCGAAATCGATCCTACGGCAAAAGGACATCAACCCATACTTAAGCAAGTGGCGGAAACAGATGATCAAGATCAATCGGATTCGAGTGACTTTGAGCCTCCTGCGATTCCCTTCCCGCATATAATTGTCAAATCCGCTGGCTCCTTATCTCGTAATTCTTCAGTTGGTACCCCCGCACGTCCCGAACCAACCGAACACCAACGCTTCAAGCAAGACAGGCCGATCTCATCCCAGACATTGCAGCGATCTGCCTCTACCACATTGGTTTCGCCACCCAATCTACCCCCAAGAACTTCTGCAAGACTACTCGATCAGTCTGGGCCACCACCACCAACTCCACCCAAGACTAGCAGTGTCAAGTCTTCACATCAGCTTACTTCCAACTTTATCGGAAGATCCGTAAGCATGAGAAATCCAACCTCTTCAAGTCCATCACCGAGCAAATGGTCGATCAAAACTGCCTCGCCACCGGCTACTGGATCACCTTTGGTTCTCAACCTGAGCTCTCAAGATGGACCAAAAGTTTGTCCAAGGTGTTCAGGCACAGTCTATCACGCTGAGCAAGTTTTAGCCTTGGGAAAGAAATGGCATAGTGAGTGAAAGAACCAGAAAAGTTTGGTGTTCAGTCTTCAAAAATGACCGCCCTACTAAACCTATCTTTTTGAAACAGAGCGATGTTTGAGGTGTTGTAAGTGTAGTAAGGCGTTAGATGCCACTATGTGCGAGAGAGATGGAACACCGTATTGTTCGAGGTGTTATGATCAAGCTTTTGGAATAGAATCACAGGGCTTTGTGGTGGTACGTCATTTGACTCAAGTTGGATCTCAGCACACAAGAGATCAAACAACTAACATTCTTTATAATTCTCAGCGACCTGGTTTTGTTGGACGTTGAATTGCGCATGATCTTGCAAAAACCAGAAGCAAAGCGCGGCGCACAGGGAGCAAGCCAAACCTGTTGATTTACTTGAATTTAGATATATATAATGTTATACTTGAAATTTATTTAACAACTGCGGTCTGTACACTGAAAGTAAGATGTATTCTATCGAATAGCATGTTTTTTGTTTTTCTTCTGTCTGTTTAGTTATCTTATTGTCATCTTGAGTCTTCTCTTGAAATGTATGTTATCTATTCACATATAAAGTCAGCTGTCCTCTGACCCTCGTCTACAGTATTTTCAAACTCTCGCAATAGAAGCTCAGTGTCTCTTCTTGCCAAGCGCTCCCCGCAGCAGTCTACCAAAGTTCATCACTGATTTAATGTTTCTCTTGTGTGACTTTTGAAAGTTGTCCGAAATCAAAGGGACAAGCACTTGACAAATTTGTTAGTGAAGATAAGGATATATCAAGGTGGGATCTTAATCCCAGAACAATGATGAGACTTTCCTCATATGAGATGATGTATCAATTGGTTTGATGCTAAGTAGCTTACGAGCCAAGTTACTTTCCATGTTCCATGTAAGCTTATCAGAACGATGATGGAAAGCAATATTTGTCTAGTTTGGTGTGAATGCGAAAAATTGCGGTGATTACGCACTCTCAACATGATACCATGTTGGATTTCAATCAGGCTAAGCTTACGATCATGAGAGCTAACTATGAATGAAGTGGTATAAGCAGCTCACTATTGCGATCTTGAATAAAATGGCCTCATCACTCATTCCATAGAGGCTGAGCCATGGGTAACTGTTGATCGAGATCTGAAATAAGCCAGGTATTGAGGTTAACATCGCGACTTAAAGAGGGAATGACGTAATTGATCAAACATCACAGCCTGATGGTCATTGACAATCAAAGGAATTATTTTAATTTGATTCTTACAAAGTCAATTAAAGCAATTGTGGTTAGTGAGTTCTTGATCTTGGACACATAGGAAGCTGAAGGTAACACGCTTTCTTTTCATAATAATAGCCTTTTTGATATCTTGATCATCGAGATTTCCATCGGTAATTTTGCCTAATCCGTCTTACAATTACAATCATCATCATCATTGACACCGTGATGCAGTTGGAATTATTGCCCGAAGGTATCCAGCCAGATCGAGATGACCATTGACCATCGAAAAACCAATAAATATCTGGTGGAGAATTAAAGTGAAGGGTTCGAAGATTAATGTTTAACCAATTTGAGAGTGATGTAACATTTGTCATGTGCAGAGTCTAAATCATTCAACTTATGTATTTCCTTTCTTCAGTCCCTGCTTTCCCTTCTTTTCCCCTCGCGATCGCTACAGTTTCATTCTTTGGATGCTCTCTGCCAAGTGACGTCTTTGATGAACTTGATTTGAGCTTTTTCATCAGGCTTGTGATAAACTGATCTTTGTTTGCCTTATAAAGAGTCATCTGTCTGTCTTCTTCTTTTCTTTACCTTCATCCCAACCAAACCTCCATCAAAAACCTCACCTCCAATCAAACTTCACTAAAATGTCTGCCACTGTAGTCAACATCGCTCGAAAGTCAGTTACCAACCCTTCTTGTGTTGATCGTTACAACCATAGCTAAAATCCTTCATTTTCTCTTGCTTTTCAGATCCGGCTCTTTACTTCCACTTGGCGCCATCATAGGTACCACTATCATCACTGCTGGTGTTTGGGGTGGTTCATGGCTTCCAGTATGTGCCCATCTCTTCAGGCTTTCCTTTCTTCACTTATTAATCAATACTTTCCATTTGTTTTTAGACACGTGGACAACCAGCTGAACGCGCTTTCGCGCCTGTTCAACAACCTTGGCAAGTCAAGAATGAGCGTGATGCCACCAATAAGGTTCGTACTTTCCCTTCCTGAAGACAAACAAATGACCCAATGCTAATCTATCTATTTTGTATCGTTTGGCCATCCTTACTAGGACCGAGTGGCTCGCTACAAGTACTTGTACAAAGACCAAGTTACTGGTGAAATCAAGGAAGCGCCACCGGCCATCAGCAGTGGTGTCTACCCTGTTAGTTTGATTCAATTCTACAAGTGCCGATTAAACATGACGTTCATTTCAACTAACCACTCCTTCCCTCTGTTGCAGATCAAGAAAATGCCCACTGAGTTACACGGGCGCTTCCCCGCGGCTCGACATGATGCCGATTGATCTCTGAACACCTTTGTTGATTGAGATCGTATAGCGCACATAATTGATTTTCGTTATCGTTCTTTGTGACGCTATTATGAATTTTTTAAAATCTTATCGTAAGAATCGATTGTATTTTTCTCCTCTTTTTTTCCTTTTCATCTTGCACTTGTAGCATGTACTAGTAAAACAAAAATTGTTAGCAATTGAGTCGTCTTTTCATTATGCAGATTGAGGAAATTGACGACTTTGCCCCATGCAGCACATATATACTAGTGATTTGAATGTGTTGTCTCAAAAGTTGTCCGTTAGACATGTCCTGACTGAGGCGAGTAAGCATTTGGGCTTCACCAAATGAGATCAGACATGCTCAGCCCCCAAACTTGATGATCAAGTGAAAGACATAAGCTGACGATGTAGCTTGTGTGATGTTGTATCTATCTAGCTAGCCACCATCAAAAGACCATCACTATCTGCACTAATCTTCTCTCCAGGTAAGAGCATCCACTATGGGTGCGTTAACGATGTGATTTAGCGTTAGAATAACGCTAAAATCCAGACAGGTCTACTATGGACCTGTTTTAGACATGCGGTCCGTACGACTGCGTCAAATCTTGCACTCCCCTTGTTCAAATCTACGCAAGCCTACGACTTGATTTATCGTAGACTTTTGGCGCATCAAATTGGTCAACAGCCATCAAATGATCTATCTGTATCCATCCCACTCTGCACTCACCACCTTCAATCAAAATCTTCCCTCGTCCCTCAAAATCACAGCTTGTTGATGGTAGCTGTTTACTCTGAATTTGCTAAAAAAAACGCATTTTGTTTTAAAAAAAAGTGATTCCGTGCGATTGATTTCACCAAGATCGAGCAAGATGTGAGAAAGCTCGATGCTCATTGTCAACACCTGAAGCCATCATTTTGGTTCTTTCTGGCTACCAAGGTAGTCATCATCATAGAAGTGAGCTGGGTGAGGTGTGGTAAGATACTTCAATTCAAGTCTCGACTTTGCCATAGCGTGTATAGTGTTCTAAGAACAGATTATCGTAGTTAAATCCTACGTTACATCATCCCATAGTGGATTTCATGCGGTTAACAACTTAGCTACAACACGCATGATTAAATTTTGCGATCAGGACCGCAAAATTTACGATAAAACACCCTCAACATAGTGGATGCTCTAACAACATCCATTGGAAGATGAAGCTTAGGATAGTTGTAGCCACTCTTTTGTATAGTTCATTGTTTGAATATATATTTTACCAGCCCTCCAAATCTTTAGCAACTCAATCATTTGAGCACTTTATCAAGATAATTTTCAGCCTGTCATTGGAAATTGACATGCTTTTCTCACAATGGGACTGCAAGAGATGGCAGACCATTGACTTACTACTACGTGGTGTGTTTGTTCACCACAAGCTTTATGTTGCAAAGCACAATGGGCACTGTTGAAAACACCAATTGACGTAAGCAGATTCAAGCACATCAAAAGATTAAATTCATCATATTGAAAGAAGAGCAAGAAGATTCACTTTGAGAAAAAATGAAAAGAGTTACATTAACATCACCCCAATCAATCAAGTCAAATATTTTCACTTACTTATACTAATCCTTTCCACTCCACTGTACTTCTCTTTTCCCCATCTTTGGGAAGAGAAGTACGTAAATTTCACCTTTTTCGTTTCACTATCTTATTACCAATTCTATTATTAGCAACTGTGCCTTCATATTATATTTTTTCCTATTTCATACTTTCTGTTTGACTTGTGTAGCTTCTGTCTCTTGCACTCGTCCGAAGATCAGTTATCGAAGCCTTAGATAACTTCAACTAACAGTCTAATCTGCTATTCTGAACCTGTCTATAGGTACATCTCTATTCTAATTTGTTCCTCTAACTGTCTTCTAATAACTTGTTCTTGATGTTGTAGGTCAGAAGACTTTTACTTAGAGTTGTTGGTTGTGCAGAGTAGCTTATCAAAAGCCTTGTGCTTTTTATCAGGTGAATAAATTTATCTTTGGGAAGAGAACTTCTGTCTCTTGCACTCGTCCGAAGATCAGTTATCGAAGCCTTAGATAACTTTAACTAACAGTCTAATCTGCTATTCTGAACCTGTCTATAGGTCAGAAGACTTTTACTTAGAGTTGTTGGTTGTGCAGAGTAGCTTATCAAAAGCCTCGTGCTTTTCATCAGGCCTTGTTCCTATAACCCGTGCTTTCAGACTTCGAAACATTCACAGGCACCTTGGGATTGTCAACAGTAAAAAGTGGGCCATTGAAGAGCCCATCCTTGGCTCCAAAGATGCTCTTCATTGTACCATTGATGTCTTCAGAGGCAAAATACTACCAAACCCAGGGAGATTGGCCAGTAGCGGCGCTTTCCTTACTAACTTTGGAGATTGATTGAGATGAATAAATACTGCTGATGGGAGTGCTTGAAATTGAATCAGAAACAGCAGAAGGTGCAAATGAGTGGAGGACTTGGACTGATAAGTGAATGGTTGGGATATTAGGCATTTTAAAATGATCAAAGTATTGAAATTTATTACAAAGTAATTGATCAGCGAATTAGAATGGAATATAGAGGTAAATAAATATTTGAGATAGAATAACATGAAACTAAATAAAGATTTGAGTTGGATAAAGTGAGGCCTTTCTGCCAACTTTGCATATCCTTGTGCAGTGGGAAAAGGGCTGGAAGACCAGGCACAACAGGTAGCTGAAGCATCCATGGGGATTTTTCACTATCATCATGTTAGGTTTCAGTGTCTTGGGGCAACTACATACTGTCTAGCTTGCTGATAGTGTAAGGCAGATTCAGCCGGGTGGGCTCAGGGTTTGGTCACAACCCCACCCAATAATCACACCCAGGTGACAGTGACCCAACCAGATCATGTTTCTCAAGCACAAACCAGTGTGTTTAGAGTTCAGGAAAAGCCTCAGACAAGTCATCCTGCCATATACTGGCACTTTTTCATTAAAAAAAAGAACAAGAAAGTTTCCATATATCTAACATAAGTTAGAAAATATAGGGAAAATATCACACTTTAGGGGAATAGCTGTCAGGGTGGCAACTTTGTAATAGGTTAAGTGGTCTAGTGGATCTGTTTACAGTAAGTATCATGACAAGAGATCCTATTGTTCACGTAGGATCTAATTAGTTGGTTGTTGTATAATACCTAATTGCGAATTATTTAAGATGTTGGTAAGAATGTAATTCTGATTGTTATGTGATAAAGAGGATTACTTACAACAGCCCACTGTAGTTTAACAGAGAAAAACGGTCTAATTCTGAGCTGAAGTTGTTTTCTTGAAGATTCAAAGATATAGCAAAAATAGCCTGAGTTGAGTCTCAGGGAACTTGTCAGAGTTGTGCTGCAAAACCAGTGGTATTAGACCAAGTAAATTTACTAAACTTGGAAGGCAAGTAGGAAAGGGGTTGTGGTTTTTCCTAAAGAATATCAATTAATGAGATATCTAATATTGACAAAGTAGGCAGAAAGTACAATTACAATGGGACAACAATGAAGTTTGTTCAATGATGAAGGATTAAATAATTGGAGTTTAGAAGAAATGGTGATTGTTGCTTCTCAAGGGCTACAAGTTTTCAAAGAATTGGGACTGGATATCTTGCAGTTTATCTAACTGGATCTCTTATAACAAGGAATTCTTCTTTGGGTGACTAGAAATGAAAGGTGAGGGAGAAAGTGAGTCTTTTGGTTTCTTGGTAGGAGGGGCTTCCTTTTGTACTTCATTTTTTGAGTTGGAACAGCTTGTGGTTATGGCTAGTCTGGTGTGGTGATCAATTTATAGGGTTAATCAAGAAAAATTGTTTTTTTTTTCATCAGTAGTTAATTTGGTAGTTTTAGGGCAAAAGTTGTGTTTCTAATATTTTTTGCAATATTATTTCAATTTGATTATAAATCATCATTATATAATAATCAGTTATTTACATTAAAATCATTTAATTTTGATCATAGGATCGTAATCAAAAAGAAGACAGATAAGAAAATCCATAAAAAAAGTTGAAAATTTTGGTATATCAGGTGGTAAAGGATTTTTAGGGTATCAGTAATTGATTTGATAGTTTAAGAAGGTTAAATTATGCAACGAAATGGTAATATCAGTCAGCAGCAACTTTAATCATGAGTATTGATAAGAGAGGAGTGAAAGTATTCAAGAAATAGGGAAATTTGAGGATGGTAAACAAGATACTACCGGATTAATACATCTGTAATGATGTGATTGAGGGATTTAATGGTGCCAAGAGTTTTTAGCGTAATTTTTAAGGTTATTCTTATGAATGTATTGATCAAAAGTGATCTTATGATGAAGAAGAAATCAATCTTAGATGTCAAAAGAGGTGAAAAGGTGTGAAAATTGTCCAATATGAAGGTTTTCAGCTACAGCTGTTTCAAGAAAGGTTGACAACTTTTTTTTGGAGAAAGTTGTCTCCGCAGCGGCTAAAACCACAGACAAAACTTGATTACAGGTTTATTATTTCCTGTATTCTTCCAATTAGCGGAGAGACAAAATCAAGTGAGGGACAAAACCCGGGTTTTGCACATTGGCAAGATTTTCAAAAAAATCAATCTTTGTTGGAACAGCTGTAATTACATGTGTCAAAACATGTCAGGTCAAGATGAGTAATAGCTCAATTGTCAAAGAATGTTCAATTTCATAATGTACAACCTGTAAACCAATAGTACCAGAGCATTTGTGGAAACTTCACAAGGAATCAAAGGGAATGGTGTGAATTTTGACTTTTGCGCTTACATACACACATGTGGCAACATTTACATGACAAAAAGCTTATTTAATCAATCTTTACAACTCAATAACCTATTCATCACAAATCAGAAGTAAGTCACATTAGGCCAATTATGGATCAATATTGTGAGATCTACAATATGGGCTTTAGTAATCAACAATTGGAGCACTTGACAAAAAAGTCAAAAATCTAACATTGGTTTTCAGCTATGGTTATGAGGAAAAAAATCACCTGTATTCATCACAATAAGATTTGTTTATCATTTATAAACATCAACCAATCAGTTTCACAGCTCAAATCAAATCATTCATTTGTAATAATCACATCATGGGATTACATCAGAGGGATTATGAGGGATTTTGTGACAGTTTTTGTTGGTTTTTGAGGCTGTTGACCATTGTAATAGGTGTTATATAGTATCAGAAGGCTAATTTTTGTTGTTGTTCCCCTTTTTTCTTTATCATTTCCAACATTTTCATTTTGTTTATCATCATAAACTTATTTTAATAGTACCCGGTCATTTAAATACAACCATCATTATAGCTATAAAGAGATAGTTACTTTAGTGTTGAACTTGAAGTGTTGTGACTTATACAGTCTTTTGGGAATAATATCAAAAATATATTGTGCTTTTTGGTACTTTGAAATTCAGTTAAGATATATTTCTCTTTTGAGACTTATCAGTACTCAATTCAACAGAAGTTCCGCTTTCTGATTTTCTTGTTTTAGGAGGGCAGTCTTTAGACATCTTCTACTAGTCTCTTATTGGTAGATCACTCATTTCATGCTCTGTATAACCCTTGTTGGTTTACAAGTTCTACACCAGTCATAAGATCATTGGTAAATTTTGAAACTCATACATCTGGCTAGAAGGGTATTCTTATTTGGTACTATTGACTGGGATATGTGGGTTTGTTTTTGCCTTTGCCTGGGTTTTCTCATATGAGGGTTTCATGATATTGTCTCAATGGTTGATAGTCTTCTTTTTAATTAGTTAAATTTTTTGCTTCTGGAAGAATTCCCTTTGTGGTTGTGAAGATATTTTTGGTTGGAATCCGCTCTTTTGTACCAATGCACAACACTCTATGAAATCTCTCTTTCCCAGTTCTGGACACTGTTAGCAACTAATTTTTTCTTTTTAGGTAACAAGGGTTTTGTCTTATTGTCTTACTTCATACCCTTGTTGTTTGTTGCCTTTTGAACTAGGCATAAGGTGTATTTTAAGGATCCCACTATTTAGCACCCCCTTGGGAGATATCCAGCACCCCTCGGGTTTTGATCAATACCCGTGTGGCCTGTCAAAACCCAAGCACTATCAGCCTAAGTTTTGCTGAGTCAGACCTTGAGGGCTCCTCAAGGGGGCACAACTTCTCAGATGAGCCCTTCCATCCTTGATGGGGCTACAAATATCATTAAAGCAAATGAAAGGGCACCTAAGTTCTTTGGCGCCCGGACCAGCCCCATGACTGCACGGACATTGGCCCCTCAAGTCACTCTTTTCCCTTGTCCAATTTTTCCTTCTTTCCTGTTCCCCCTACTGATCACATTTTCAAACTTCAAACAACAACCTTCAACACACCCATCAACCTTACATCAACCTTACATCAACCTTACATCAACCTAGCAGTTTCTCCTTGATAAATTCAAGCTTATAAAACCATCAAACAGTTACAATCATTACTAATCTCATCCAAGACAAGACATGACTCAACATTCAAATCTGATCTAGACTCAATCATAAGCTCAGCATCAAGAACTCCCCATCTAGACTCAATATCAAGATTACTGTCAGCATTACCTCAACTTGAATGTTTCTCATTTCACTGTAGGTCATTGAAACTAACAAACTTAGATCCTCCAGCTTGATTGAATCTACATAACTCAGGTTTTACACTTTATGTTGATGTTTTAGAAACATTTACTCACTTCACTCAAACTACAAAGCAGATTTTCAAAACTGTTGAACTTCTTTTAAACAATGTAGATGACAAAGGTTCAGGTCAAGTCTTTGAGCCAATTGAAGATACCTTAGAAGGTAACCATATGGTGTTTGATGTCATCTCACTTACCCAACTTGCGATGAAATCTTGGTCTGTCCAAAAAGTTTCATTTGTATATATTGCCAAACCATTTCCTATACTAATTTCTTCACTTGTTCTTCAGGAACTACATATCAAACTCAAGGGCCCAACTGAGTGAGGCATTACATTTACTCAACACTTGTTCAAAACAAACTCCATCTTTGTACACTTTCTAGCACGGTGTAGTACACTTTCTAGCACGGTGTAGTCTTGTATAAATGAAATCAAAGAAATGAAAATGTTCAAACATCTTTGTTTGGGTTCTTGAACATCAAGCAGGAGCTTGCCGTATAGATTAGAATTCAGCGCTCTTGATGGGAAATACAAGGACAAGACGTGGAGTTGATTTTTTTATAACTATTCTTTTTTGACTTGGATAGTCTCAATCCAGATTCACAAGAGTTGAGTTGAGCTGACATATTTGAGGCGATAACATTCCTCAAGCTGAGCTTGTCGGCCTATCATCGAAGTGACATTGACTCAGTATCTTACTTTGCTTACTTCAGATAGTTCCTTAAAGGTTAATGGTGTATTGTGTAAATACAAAAGAGAGATCCTTTGAGGATAAGTATAAGTACACAAGATGAGATGAAATGTGGGAGCCCCAATAAGGAGCCCCTTTTTCTAAAAGGGGCGCCTGAATTGTTTGTAGCCTGGTGTCCAACCCGAGAGGGGGCGCCAAATACTGTTCCAAGGGCTCTAAATAGGGGGATCCTATTTTAATATGTTATGCATTATGATTCTTTTGTTGCCTTTGATACTCATACTAGGCACACAGTGTAATTTTGTATTGTGGCCTTTGAAACTAGACAAAACATTTTGAGTATAATTTTGGAATGTGAATGCAACAGGTTTTTTGTAAATTTCTATTATTTCATAGTATCATACTATTTCCGCTCTTAAAGCTACTCTGGGTACAACACATCAAATCTCAGGAGCTGACAATAGCTTTATCAGTGCATCCAAGCAAGTTGAAGCAATCTTTTTCAAAAAAACTGGAAGAAGGCTTAACATTGGTAGAGGTAGCTTGAATTTTCTTCGACAGATTGGGCAACACATGGTTCCATGTTTATCCCTTTTGACCTCCTGTTGTACAAGTATGCAAGATCAAAAAAGAGTCACTCTGAGTAGGGTTCAATCAATGATATATATTAGAAACTCTAATTGACCTCCAGACAATCACTGTGAAATGTATGATCTACCCCATGTGGTAAAGTAATCAGAGACTCGTATGGATGCATATATTCGAGGCATATAACACATTTGTCTGGCATCTTCATTGAGAAAAGACGGGTGTTACCTAAAAAAGGATTCAATGTTTCAAATTTAGATTTTGGAAGCTATTGTTATGGAACCAGGGCAACATGGACCACATAGAACATATAATTTAGGACTTACCGTTCCACTCTACCTGTTCTTTAAGATATGACTTAGCACCATCAATGTAAGGGCAAAGTTTTTGTAGCCACCCAATGATGTAATCTTCTTTCTGAGCCCATAGTTCAGGTGATAAAGTTTCATGAAATTCGTTTTCATGTTTAGCAACTTTGATAGATTCTGCTGCACTTTTGAAAGTGTTGATGTTCAAATTCTGAGGTGAAAGCAAGGGTGTAATTGCCTTCCCAAAAGGTCCCAGACTAATCTTTTCTCTTTTAAAGACATAATCGAGCTCCTTGAGCAATTCTTCACGTTCAAATATCCACTTGAAGGAATCATCTTGTGACTTTAAATCCTCTACGACCTTTTTGGTGCTGGAATCAGCTCTTTTGTACCAATGCATAACACTGTATGAAATCTCTCTTTCCCAGTTCTGTACACTGATAGCAGCTAAATTTTTTGAGCACTTGATCAGGATAATCTTCCAATTTTTAACTGGAATTGGTGTGCTTTCCTGTAGGAAGGCATCATAAGTCTCCTTGGTAAACCTGGATGGTTCAGTATTTGGATGACTATCCAGCTCTTGTTTAATCTTAACAAGTGTTGTCAACCGGAAGAAGGCCTCTTCCAAAGCTGAGATGGGGATAATAAAGTTAGAGTTACAATCTGGAATAGAGACATAAATTAAGAAGCAACATACACAAATCAATATACTTTGACATGTGCCATGGATGTTCCCATACAGCTTGACTAGCACCTATAAGATTCAATCCTAATTTTGGATCGCCATCAAAAGTTAGAAATTTACACTCTTCCAAATCGGGAAGGGATCAAAGATAGATTGTCAACACCTTTGGTCAGATGAACCTGTAGGGCTGCATAGCTTATTGGCCCCTCAGTCATATCTGTCTTCATTGCCTTCATGTGACCTTTGGGAAGATAACCTTGAAGATGTTGCAAGACAGCCAGAACCCAAATTCTATCTCTCATGGTTAAATCATACATTTCTAGGATATAGACTGCATGTCTCACTGATTGTTCAAGTTCCTGACCTTCAAGAAATACACTTGGGTGAAATGTTTCTTCAAGCCCTGTTGATGTTGAGGTAATTTTCAACTTAGAAGCCAATTTTTCTAATCCCATATGTAGATGACTTGGAATCTTCTTTTTCATAGAGAGGAGCTTATCAAATTCTTTGTTATGAGCCAATTCAGGGGTCTGTGGTTTGGCATTTTGAGTTGTTGGATTGAGTGATGTTGAAGACTTGGGGTAGACATTGAATGGTTGGTAAAAGTTGATACCCTCATGTGGCTCTTCAATGAATCCTGCCTGTGAGACAACTGGACAGATTGAAGACAGACAGAGAAGGACCATCAAGAATTGGCAGACAATAGGATATTTCATATCCAATGAACAAAAATAATTAATGAGGTAGGCTATTATGAACAATCAAACTGAGGTAGGCTATTATGAACAATCAAACTGAGGTAGGCTATTATGAACAAACAAACTGAGGTAAGGAATTTGAAGAACCAGAAGGAGGCAGACTCTGATGAAGAATTGAAATGAGGTAGGCAACAATGAAGAACAAAAATGAGGTAGACAGTGACCCAAATTATCCAGTTTATGTAGATGGCCTGAAGTCATGAAACATATTTGAAGGTCAAAAGTGAGAATGTTTGTCTCAAAAAGGTGTGCTGCACACATTGTATATGGATGAAACACATACAGGTCTTCCTAAGAAGCTTGTCACACCCAATGTCAAAGACCAAAAACTTGAAACCTATTTGTTACAGGAAAAAACCTTGAAAATGTGCATAAAGTCATTCCCTGTGGTAAAATTGTGGATTCTACGTACAATTTCAAAATTTTATCTGCAAAAAGTTGGGTTTCAATGCCTTCAACTTTTTGTATTCAAATTTGGAAGCAACAAACGTCTTTAGAACACCTGTAAGTTCCCTTCAAACAATTTACATGTGTATAAGTTCTTGCTGAATCCTAATATTTCCACTCTGGTACAGAGGCACCAACTGGTATCATATATGAATATACTTGCTTGGGTGTTTCATATATTCCTTGATATAGGAAAGAATTTTGTCACAGCTACTTACTGTGCTGCACAGGCTATGCAGTGCAGCAGTTTATGTTACATGTTTATGTTTTGATTGTATAGCTTGTTATGCTGCAGCTAGGACGTAGCAAATCAGAGATAGCTACAACACAGGGCTAAGTCAATCAAGTCCCACAATCAGAACTTATCCTGCCCAACTTCCCAAGTAGTGACTTATGCCTAAAGCCATACTTTTCAACTCACCACAGCAGAATGTTTGGGCTTTTTTCCTGGATCATCCATTATGTGGGTCACAGACCCCATACAATTATGGTATACAAATATCATTCTGGAAATTTTCAGAAGATTTTTCCCAGAATGTCAGAAAGAAAAATTATAATGGTATCTGGCATTCTGGTGTTCTGGAAGTTTGAATGCCCCAGCAGTCCAGAATACCAGAATCCTGAGTACATGACTGCAACACAAAGTGGAACCTTGCTCACAGAAATATAGTTTTCCAGAACACCAGAAGGGTTCTGGCATTCTGGGAAAAACCTTCTGGAAACGTCCAGAACAATATTTGTATACCATAAATCACGCTTGCAGCTACAGGGGTCTTTTCTCAAGGACATCTCCTCATGATTTTTTCAGCACACATTTTATTCATCAAACTCACTCAGAAGAGCTGTAAGAACTTGTAGCTGGCTGCTGCAACACCCATCTAATTCAATACAGGACCCCCCAAGGCGTGCTTGAAACCCCCAAAACCCCAAACTTAACAAAGTCCCTTGCCTAGCCTTGCCTCGCCTCGGGCCTTTGTGGAAGGACTTTGTTAAGTTTGCAAAAACACGGTGTCCAAGAATCAAGAATTCAAATAGTAGTGAATCTACCCGCAGTGACAATCCGAAACCGGCAGCAGGAGATGCACAAAATATCAAGGAAACTATGGGTGGCTGGATGAGCGATTTTATGAGGTCTGTGACCCTCATAATGGGCAAAAACGGAAAAATGCACGAAAAATCTGCTGTTGTGAGTTGAAAAGTATGATTTCACCCGTAAGTCCCTCCCTCAGACACCCATTTCTCGCGAGCTCCGTGGCTTCGATGGGCCAACACCGGTCTTCCCTCCTTCCTCGACTATCATGCTCTTTAATCGTGGCCCAAAACATATCTATCACGACCAGATAAGTCTTTGCAACTCACGCCTCGGCCTACACCTGTTGTGAACCAAAGCACCACCATGATGATTACGGGGATGTATAATTTCAACTATTGACCTCTTCTTCTCTCAGCTCGAGAAAATACCTACCGAGTTACGCGGGCGCTTTCATACGGCTTGACCTGATGCCGACTGATGTCTGAAAGCCTTTGTTAATTGTTTCATACCATCCCTCGTTACGTTATTATAATTTCCAGGATGTTAGACTTCATCCAACTTTTTTCTTTTGATGTTTTACCTCGCCGATGCAGTATGTGTGTCGTACCAGTGAACCAAAAATGTTGCCAACTGAAATTGTCTTTCCATAACTCAACTTAGGGAAATCCACGAATTCACCCTAGTGAGCAAACGTACTAGCGATCTGGATTTATCCTCTTGAAAGTTGGAAGTGCAATATATCTTGACTAAGATGAGCAGCCAACTTTGTACACTTTGAGCTTTGTCACATCGAACCGTACATCCTCAGTCGATAGACTCGATAACCGTGTGAAAGACAAAAGTGATGGGCGTAGCTTGCGTGACGACTTGAAAGGTACTTATTGACTAGCCGAATCTAAGTGACCATCACTAGTCTGCCTCCATCAGCAGGAACACCCGTGAACACTTCCATTCACGTGGCGCTGGATGAAGCTATGGACAAGTTTAGCTGCTGTTTTGTTTTGTTCAGACTTGAAGTTGTAGTACATGTGAGTTTACCTCGCTGCCTAAGTTCGCCTTAAGACCCAGAGTACTAGCCGTGATCTGATAGACTCCTAATCCCCGTAGGGCATTTTCATCTCATCCACATCTATAGCTTCAACCGTATCACTGAGATAAATGAGATGCTGATGGGATCCATTCGAGTAGTATTACATAGCACACATACACCTTCATTTTATTCGCCGAATTCGGGTTTTTAAAGCTCGAAGGCACTAATCTCAAAAATCGTGACGCCAGTTCGGTAAAATCTAAATAATTTATCTAATTTATCTCGCATTTTCCTGTCGATGGTTTTAATCACCCATCAGTATCCACTGGCGACAGTTTCTCCCATAGAGCTTGTTAGATTTCTTGTTGGCTCGTGGTAAAATCAATCTGCCCTGCACTTGTCGAAAATCAAGTATCAAGTGTGCAAGGCCTTGAAGTTTCGATCTTTGACCTGATGTTGTATTCCCTTGAACTCGTCATACAACTCACACCGCTATACCCGAGCAGTACAAAGATCTAGTCTTTGATGAGCGCAGTGTTCACGCCCCAAAAACATGATAAAGTGGCTTGCTTACAACAATTTTCTAGTCTATGCTTAGGTACGTAGTTGAAGATGATACAAACTAAAGAATGGCTCGGCCCACCCAAAATCTATAGGTAGCTGTCTTAACGTCAAGGGTTAGCAGTGGTTTCGGAAACTCGTCCGGCGAACTTTAGATTTTGGATACCTAGATACCTTTCCCACCTTTTTGACCTCCACCACATCACGCATTGAAGTGGCGCCAAGCTCATTATCACTCAAGACTTGGGAATTAGCGTTGAGGTGATGAGTCTAGGAGTCAAAATAGGATATTCAAGTCTCAAAGATCGTATGATCTGGAAAATCCTCAACGTGAATCCTTGGAGACGATCAATCTCTCATTGAGAGGAGAATGGATTGAAGTCTTGACTCAAGCACCATATCAACTGAACCCACTTAGTTTCAGGAAGCATATACAACAACAAAAGCTAGATAGACTTGAAGAAAGTTGCGCATTGTAGATTCTAATCCCAAAATAAGCTGCGTTTCCAAAGTCAATTTTTTTTTTCTAATCATCAACATCAACTGTATCAAGCTCTCTCGCCAAGTTGCTTACAATATAAAGCCACCGAGTCAATCAGCTCGGCTTGTTAGTCTTTTCTTCTCACTACATATCATTAACGGTTCTCGTTTCAGGATTAGCTTGATTTCTTTTGATCGCTCTAACTTCGTTAAGTCACATAATTCATCATACAATCAAAGACAAAGAAAGAAATAGTTCTTGACTATCTTATTTTAGATTGTATAGGATCTAAGTTCTTGCATAACTCTAGTGATAGAAGGAAAAGATGGCTAGAGATCAACTTGAGAATAAAAAGCTATCAAGATCAATGAAATCGAGTGAAGTGTTTCCCAATTCGATCATCGAATCTGAAACGATAAAGTTCAAATCAGTTTATCATAGACCAAGAGCTCAAGCAGTCGATATAAATTCTTATAGATCGATTTGTTTAAATTCAACTAATCATCATCATCATCATCATCATCATCATCATTCTCATTGGTCTAAGTCTCAAATCAATTTACAATCTCAAAAGGATAATAGAATGTTACCTTCACCTGCCCCTTTCTCAAATCTAACATCTGATCTTGATCTTATCGATCAGAGTAGTCTATTACACAGATCACCTACCATAGCAGGTTCATCACCATCCAAATCTACCACTAGCCGTCGTCTCAACGGTTATCTCTCCTTACCTCATCGGCTATCGATCAACCGTCGTGTAAGAAGAAAAGGATCTCAAATCACTTTTCAACAAGAATCAGCTTCAGAAATCTCATTACCCCTTTCTTCAAATGAAAGATCTCCAATCAGATCTCCAATCTTTAAACATAAAAGTGTATCAGAAGTAGTCATTAGTTCTTCGAAACCTAATCCAAATAATTTATTATGGATTCGACATCGATCTCCTTCTCAACATCATCATCAACATCAACATCATAAAAGACTTTCGATTAGTCATCCTATTCCTGAAAGCTTTGTTCATTTCCATTTACCTTCGGGTGATTGTCTTCCAACCGGTAGACCTTCTGCTGTTTCTCGCCTACCACCTCAAATTCGTTCTTCCTTTTACGGTGATCATTGGTATAGCTCTCAAGCTGTCTCAAGTCTTGAATCTATACCTGATTCAGAATCACCAATTGGAAACTCTAGCTCTAAACGTAAAGGAACTTCAGTTGAGTATCTCTCATAAGTTTTATTTTTGTTGAGAAATGAAGAGACTAACCTTTTGTGTGACTTGTTTTTTTTTGTTTACAGTTTATTGGAAAAGTTTGGAAACAAGTTAGAATGAGAGCTAGATTAGTCCCTAATTTTAATAAATCTAAAAGATCAAAAGTTAACCCGGTCCCACATCATTAAGATTTGTTTTCTTATCTTGTCTTGATCAATTCCTTAACTCATATATAAATATCTAGAATTCTATCGATTGATCATTTCCTTTATCATCTTTCTATCTTTTGTTTTCTCAGCAATTTTTTGAAATATTTGCTTTCTTTTTTTAGATTCTAGAGAATCGATTTTTTTTTTCTTTTTCAAGTTTTTCAACCTTCAAATTAGATTACAGTTTTACGATCCTTTTCATTTTAATTTTGTTTACTCATTTAGTTCTTTCCTTTCTATCCAATCTATTGAGTAGACTTAACTTTTTTTTTTTCTTTGATCAACAATTTGTTTTTTCTTTCATTTCATTTCAATTTCTTTCTTGGCAATTTCTTTTCATTTCAATACAATTACTTCACTTATTTTAATATACTGTTTTTTTTGTTTTGTTTTTAAATCAAATATATAGACTTGTACTGAATTTGTTTCTTGGTTTTTTTTCTTCAGCTTACTTAAAATATACTAAAAATTAATTTTGTGGATTTTTTGTGAATGCAGAATGTAAACTTGAATTGAGATCTTTTTGATGAGTCAATGGAAATTGTATCAAATAAGCTACAAACATCAATGAGATACCAAAGGTGGATGTGTGATCATTTCATTTCCCTTTCTACAGCTTTCTACCCCGGGTTTGATTTATGCGCTTTTCCACACGCAAATATTTCCCAGTGTGGCAAAATGCTTTTAGAGTGAGCTGATGAATTTCATGTTGATGACTATCATCAGCTTGTTTTGTTTTCTCCCTACTAATGATCTTGGACACTCTTACATCTTCTATACTCAAGTTTCCAACATCATTCATCATCCATGTTGAAATTTTGCATGGATTGTTTTTTCTTTGTTCTATTTCAATTTTGAAGAGTCCTAGGTTCCAGAAAAACCACATATGTTTTGTGGTGTTGGAGAAACCTTGGAGTTCTTCCTAGAAACATCTTGAGACTTCATGGAGACTGTCTTGGAGAGAGCTTAAAATATTAGCCCAAAATATTCAGGCCGTCTTGTTGCCAGAGTGACCCCAAATTGGCAACAGGGATGAGAACCCGCAGTGATGACTCGTCGGGCCACGACTTATCGGGCACTGGGAGTAGTTCCGCCACCGACCACATCTGCATTCTTGGCGCTCATTCTTTACTTAGTTGTTCCGCAAGTCTCACAACAGGAGAACAAAATGCAACGAATCGTATGGGCCTCTGAAGATAATCGTAATTCCCTTGTTCAAAGGAAGATCATCAATAGAATAGGATGAGAACAGAACCCCTGAATGGGTTTCTGCCTATAATGTATCAGTCACCTGATCATATTAATTATCAAGTTTGAACATTTCAATTAATATTCGATCAGTCATCAGGTGATCAACAAGGACTATATATTTGACCAACTCGACTCTACTTGATAGTTGATTTACCATAAAGTCATGTCTAACATTGATCCAGATATCAAGGTCATTCATGAGGAAGAAGCTTTCTCATCTCAACAACCCAAACAAACATCAATCGACCGAATCTCACGAAAAACGCCTCAACAACACTTGAAGAGTCTATTGGTCTTGACCACTGTAGGACTTGTGATCTTATGGTTCAAAGATTTGTTTGAAACACCTCTCAGAAATCAAGATTCAGAAGATCTAAAGCTTAACCGATGGATCGAAACTCAAACGAATATTTCATGGAATGCATTATTAGCGAACATTGGTGTCAATGGAACTTATCCTGGTGTGGTAATCGCTTCACCTTCGAAACATGAACCAGATTATTTTTATACTTGGACAAGAGATTCAGCTCTTGTGATGAAAGAAATCGTAATACGATATGAAGATGGTGATCATTCACTTTTAGAATTAATCAAATCATTTGTTTCAGTTTCAAAGCATATTCAAGATCAATCTAGATTGCATTCTACTGTTGGTTTAGGTGAACCAAAGTATTATGTTAATGGTGATGTGTTTATGGGTCCTTGGGGTAGACCTCAACGAGATGGTCCAGCCTTGAGAGCCACAACTCTAATCAGATTCGCCAATGTCTATCTTGAACGTGGTGGAGAAGAGGCTTCAAGTTATGTTCGTGAAGTATTATATGACGGAAAGTGGGAATCGAGGAGTGTTATAAAAGGTGCGGTATCAATCCGTTCATTGACACGCTACATAATTGACCGTTACTTCTCATGGGAACTAACTCTTGGATTCTTTTTCAGCTGATCTTGAGTATATCGCTTCAACTTGGTCGAAGACGTCTTTCGACTTATGGGAAGAAGTAGACGGACATCATTACTACACCTTTGCAGTCATTCAGAGCGCCCTTGCAGATGGAGTTAAATTTTCACGTCAAATGGATGACCCAGGTGCAGCAGATTGGTATCAGTTACAATTGTCTGCTATCACTCCTCGATTAGATCTATTCTGGGATGACCAGAGAGATGTGATCATGGCTACTCAAAATTGGACATATCCATACGGTAAAGTAAGATCAAGCTTATCACAACTGGGGATTTCATATCGTTTGACTCATCATTCACTTGATCTATAGACCTCTTGGTTAGACGTCAGCACGATCTTGGCGAGCCTACATACCGAAAACAATGATTCCCCATCGAAACCTTCATCATCTCGAATCCTAGCCACTCATCATGCGCTAGTCGAGTCTATGAGGTTAGTCATTACCTATTATCATCCGCTATCTTGTCTCATCATACTTAAGATACCTTCCATTTTTCGGTTCCAGGGATCTTTATCCCCTCAATCGTCTCTACGCATCCCGGCCCGCCAAGGCTATCGGACGTTATCCCGAAGATGTGCTTTGTTTCCTCTTTTCACCTTATCTGATTGTAGGCAAGCACTGATTGTATGTCTCCTTGACTATCATAAAAAAGGTGTATGATGGTGTCGGAAAGAGTGAAGGTAATCCTTGGTACCTCGCAACTTTAGCATGTGCTGAGATGCTATACCGAACCATTCACGACTCATACCAACTTTTAAAGCTCGATACTTCCAAGTCAATTCACATTGGTCACGAGGAACTCGCTTTCTGGAAGCAGTTTGATCATCATGACGATTTACATAGTGGTTCTGAAATCAGTATAACTAGTCATAAGATGATTAGAATTCTTTCTGAAGCGAAATTAGTCGCTGATGATTATGTAAGGATCGCAAGTCATTGGATCACCAATAATGGTAGTATGCATGAACAGTTTGATCGCTACCATGGAACTCCAAAAGGGGCTAGAGACTTGACGTACGTGTGATCATACCTTTAAAATCAGTTTGGTTTTGGTTATTGATTTGGTTTTGTTTGGTGATCTATTTAATCATAATATATTCTTAGATGGAGTTATGCTTCATTTCTTTCTATGAATAGAGCTCGGAAGTCGGTTCTTGCACTTCAGACTCGTGACAGCTTATCATTCTCATGTACCCATCTTTGATGTAATATTACCGGAACTTTCAAGTGTTGTATTGTTATTTAAGCTTATCAGTAATGTAAATTATCATGTGCATTGGTCCCTCCTGTATTAATGAGAGGTGTTGGAGTCTAAATCCGTTCGTAGAAGCCCTATATCTTCGAAAGGAAGGATAGTGAAGGCATCCATGATTTATATCGTATCATCAAAGTCCAATATTGAGACTCTGTAAGATTTCTCCCAACTTCATACATCCATCACTCAAAGTAGCGAGCTAAAACCCCACTTCCGCTTCCTAATCTCCATTCTTATATCAACAAAAGATCTTTCCTACACAGTCATTATGAATTTTCATATGGATTCCTTAACCAATGAATCTTGTATTGCAGGAGTTCTAAACCAGGCTCACAGTAGTTTGACCTTGGATACCATAACTGAATTGATGCAGAGTAAAATAATCTTATTGGATTCGAAGATGAACTCACGAAAAAAATGATGAAAAGCTTTCTTCGTAAGGTGTCCAAACCAAGAGTCCAACAACTACGCTTGTGGCCCATTGGCGTGTTCCTCTATCACGTTAATGGTCACAATCTATCCATCATCAGATCAAAATAATCACCAACTAAACTCTTAAGTCAATCCTGGATGCCAAGGTATCGAAGAACTTTGCTGTAGCCAAATTTAAAGTGAGTTTCGAGCTCATATTCTTTTTCTTTCGTTTAATCTTTTCTCAAGGCTTTCCAGACCTGCGCTCAAGACACATTAATCAGATGCCTCAGTTGGGACAGGGCCATAGGTTTCTGGGATCAAATAGACTTTCTGATTCTGATTAATAAATTCGTAAAGCACGCCAGCCGGTTTCGTAAGCCAGTTCCGACATTTCCAGACTCTACGGAACCAGTTGAGATTCCGAGTCAAAGAACATAAGGGTGAATTTAGGTGGGGCACCTACTTCAATTTTTTTAGGTGAGTATATGTGTGAGCATGGGTCTTCACTTTTCCATCCCTCTCAAGTTTACTAGGAACTTGAGAAATATGTGTCATTTGAAAAACTTGTGTTGAAGGATTGCTAGGTTTAAAACGATGTGTAGAATTTTATCATATGGTCTATCCTCAGTCAATATATTATCATAGGTTTATAATCAGTTAAGAACAGTATAATTTCTTCTATTCTCCTCTTCTTGTGGTCTATCCACTTCTATTACAATGATATAGAACTTATGATCATTTGCGGTACTCAAAGCTACATATGTACGCGTACATAGTTGCTTTGAGTACCGTAATTACCAGGTTCAAATTCCTCACAATTGTCTTCTTCAAGTCCTTTGTCATTTTGATCTCCTCCGCACCAATTCTCAGCTTTTGATTCAGAAGGCATGATAGGACATACGAATTGAAAAGCTCAAATTGTTGTAGTTTTCGAAACTAGTGCCGTATTCAAGAGATTTGTCTTATCTTGGCCGTACCCATCTTCATAGAGGGTGAATTAATCACATATCGGTTTATGTATTATAAAACTCTGCAAAGTGTCAGGGGAGAGAATCTCCTGAACCAAGGGTCGTGGCAGGATCATTGAGAAACATTCCCGGTAGAAGGATGAAACTATGTAATGAAAAGTCTGAAAAATAGTACCCGTGCCACGATTGGGGTAGACCTGGGGAAGATTCGATTGAGGTCATTGCAACTGGCTGTACCAAAGGTCTCTAAGATTCAAGAATGTGCAGCTTATTGTACATAGGAAGACGAAGACTTTGTGCCCCTTTTCCTTCGTCAAATACCTCTATTTACGTACACACCCACGCTGCGAAATATCACAAATCCATCTTTGGTCATTCATTGGTTTAAGTGACGGCCATCAATTCAGGTTGGATTCAGTCTTTTGGGGCCATTCCAAATAGAACGCACTATGTAAAAGTTTCAAGTATCGTTTGGTGTAAACCTTTTCAATCCTTTGATCGATTCCTACCTCTGATTCCATTTGTTATAAGAAAAAAGCTGTTCAAAAGGGATGAGGGTTACGCAATTTATCCTCAGGAGTCTCGAGATGTTAATCTAGGTATCTGGTCAAGCTTCTCTTTCCAAGTGGAGAAGGATGGCGAGGCTTAGGACTCCTGCATCAGCATCACAGAGTCTTCGTCATCTTGAATGACATAGTTACCGGAATATCTTTGTGAGAATTTTCTAGCAGTTGCACAACGACTATCTTGCCCTCACTAATTACAATGATACAACATACCCTCAAGGGAGAGGAGAGCTTCTGGTATGGTTATTTCGACTCTGTCGATGGCTTGGCATTCTAAGCTTATGATGTGCTATTACGATCTCTGGTTGTTGTCATTTCTCAATGGGTGATTCGATCAAAAGTCCCCGTACAAAGCCTGCTAAGCTGCTATGGTAGATTTTAGGTGTACGAAGCCGGTTGGAGAGCGGGAATGAGATATTTTCTCTTAAACTAAGCCAGCCTTCAACATTCAGACACAATTTTTTTACAATAAATATCTACTCATTCAGGTTCAAATCTTTTCATCACTTCTCACCTTCACCTAGCTCATCCATTAGATTTATTGCATTTACCCATTTCCAGTTCAATCTTCTCTTTCAATTCTCTCGTTCTCCTAAATCCTCTTTAAGCTCTCTTTTTGAGACTCCGACTGCACATTCTTGAAAACCTTTTTCAAAACCAATTTCAATGCCCAAATCAAATCTTCCCCGGCTGTGTTCCGATTGTGGTAGGTGTTATCTTTCATAATTTTCGTTAGTATCATCCTTTGTTCGAGAATTCTTAATCGCAAGAGATTTTTTCCGCAGTCCTATCATTGGACTTGGATCGGGATATTCTCCTTCTGCCTCCGAGTCGAGTTGGCTAGTCCAACGAGATTCCCAAGAAATCGTTTTTTTCACATTTCTTGTCGTATCTCTCTAATTGCTTCCTTGGAACGTTGGTGTGATCCACATCCGCAAAGTTTTATGATAAACAGAATGAGCTTGTTTTATGCTTTTCTTTCAAATCCTTCACATTTTAGCTGCTTTGGATAATTCACTCAGATCAACCAGGAAGATTCCCATTCAACTCACTGATCCACATTTTCTTTTCTGTGTTTTTTTATCTATTAGGATCTCCAATTCAGGCGAATCGTACAAAAAATAAAGAAAATACCACAGTTGGTATGTAGATTTCGACGAGATGAACTATTTCTGTCTTTCAAGTTCATCATGAGTTTGAATTATCAGCTGATCTAGATCTCTCCCTTGATACTTCATCAGCTCGTGTCGCTCCCAATCCTCAGTTACCTAGATCTACTAAAGCTCAGACTCAAGGAAAGAAGAAGCGAACCTCTAACCCAAAAGAGTCAAGACGTATGTGACCAATCTATCTTGATTCTTCAAAATAGCTACAGAGAATTTACCTCATCGATTGTTTTCATCCAAAATAAAGCTTTATCACTTATGAGCCTTCCTAAAGCTTTGAAGTCGTAAGTTGTTTACTAACTTCATTGGTATTCTTGACAATCTCATAAATCAAATCTAATCAACATCCCGACATCTATCTATCTCTACAGAGATGTTTATTCAGAGAAAAAAGCTGCACACCGAAACAAAGGGAAAGTCACTCCAATGGGTCGAGGTACTCCTTCGGAAGGTGATGACTACATTCTTATTTGTAAGTGTTCTTCTACTTGTTTTCATTTCGGAAAGTTTCTTGAACTCTCACTGAAAAAGAAATGTCCTTTTAGAAACTCTTGTCAGTAGGAATTAAGCCATCAACAAGCTTAGACGGTGTTCTTTATTCTTAGATTAAGATTGAGTGATTGTTTGTTTGTTTTTCAATTTTCTTTGCTTACTACATTCTATGTTGTAATAGTATGCAGACACTTTCAAATTTTCAATAACCACATGGGAAAGATTCCACAAAATATGTTATATATGACTTATGAATGCGAAAATTCAGTATGAATGAACTTGTTTATAAGACACTGATCAATTCTTATCTCTATCTCAAGCCAATTGGAGAAAAAGGAAAAATATATCAGACAAGCTTGATAAGCTAGTTCTGGTGTAAAGTGAAAGCTGCGTATGGTTCAAGTGAAATTCATGTGTTCTTTGCCTGTTAAAAGGCATCTTTAACTTTAACCACTACATGTAGTGATGAAAGATCCATTCTCAACTTAACAAAGTCCCACAGTCAGACCCTTTTTCCTCGCGAGCTCGGGGGTCTCCAGGGCACCGAGCTTGCGAGGTAAGAAAGCCCCTATTTTGGGACTTGTGTTAAGTTAGGATGTATTCCATTTACCAGGTGGCTCAAATTCTGTTCTAACAATTGGGCACACTCTTTTTCTGTCTTCATCCACAGTGAGCTTCTGTTTTGTGAATGTTTGAAAGACAAAAACGAAGCAAAATAATAAGTAGGGGGCTTCAATCAAATCATAGTCATGGTGTACTTGGACTTACACTCAGACAATCGCTGTGAAATGTACGAACACGATCATTTCCCTCATGTTTCAGATGAATCAAGGATTCTCCTTAATACATAGAATCCTGACAAAGATCATATTTCTCACCTGGTTTTTTCTAGACATCTAGACTATGAGTAGATTATAGAAATGTGAGGAGATTCACTTATAGTTTTATGAAATCATATCCTAAACCAAATAACAAGGTTTTGCCTTTAACAAGGGGACATACATCATGCGAAGGCCTGAAATGGTTAAACCTTTTCTTATCTAATCTCAATTCTGTCATTCTCACAACCAACCAAGATCTTTCCCAAGACTTTCATCTTATATTGTACATATACTCTGCTTCAAACAAATCCTCTTCATACAATTCCAAACAAAAAGATAATCAGAGATAATCCCTATGAAGGTTCAAAGCAAATCATCAAAAACTTAAACTCAAGTTAAGTTTAGTAGTCCTTCTTCCAAAAAAAGATATCAAAAAACCCCAAGAATTCATCATTTGAACTCATTTTTTCTATTGGTGATAAATCTTACGAATAATTTGATGTCCCGACCTGTTGTGTAGTTGCCAAATAAGCTAAATAAGCTTCGCTATGTTTCAAAGGTTCAGGTGTAGTTGAAGTGGTGGTAAGAAACGGTTTGGTAGGTGGTGCAGCAATCCACATAAGATCTTCAAATGGTTTTAAACTTGGATCTCTTGATGGATCATCATCGCTTGGCTTACTGATTTGTGCTATCCAATCCAGATGAGATGTCAAGTTGATTTCAGAAGCAAGAATTTGGAAAAAAAAAGAAGGACAGATGACTTACACAATAAAACCTCGGGTAATTTTTCAAACGATTCTTGGTTTGCATAGATATCCAGAACGCAAGGTGTCTTGCGTGAAGGATTGATTTGTTTAAGCAGTTCGCCAAATCGACCACCCACTGTAATCTCACCTGTATTCGACGGACGAGACATAGGAGGTACAGCGGGAGGAGGCGGAAGAGCTGGAGAAGGTTGAGAATGGACTACTGGAGTGGCAGTCACGGGTTTGGCTACCACCGGAGTTGGTGGTACTGGAGTATTACTAGCCGGAGTAGATGCACGTAAACGAGGGGTTTGTGGAGCTGATGAATCAGGACTCCTAGATTGGTGCGGAGGTCGAGGTGGATTAGATGGTAAGATGCCCAAAATACTTTCAATCTTTTGTAAAGTATAATCTTGTCTATGATGCTTGACTTGATCCTTTGGCAAGACTTTCATTAACTCTGTCGGTGATACGATGATAGGTTCGCCATTGGCTTGAAAGTTGGTGGTCGCTGGTATAAGAAATGGTGAATCCACTCGTACAATCGTATTCACTGCTAAAGGAGTAGGGAATGATTGAAAGTTTTCTTCATGTCCTTCTGTTCGTACGTTGGAAGGAGCGCATGATTCCCAATTCTTGATCTTTTTGAAGGTATAGTCATCATCTTTATAGCGATGCTCACATATATACAAAGTAAGGTCGTGAGTCCACAGAGGTGCTGAAGGTCGACCACGCACTTTTAAAATCATCACACATTCAAACATGAGTACTGTTATCAAGAACTCAAGTTACGTGTAAGAGCAGTGCATACGATATTTGGTATAAAATAGCACCAGGCATCTTCCCAAAACGTCCCTGATATTCAAAATCTGTTGTCAATGAAGATCTGAGATGGTAGGTTTCTGAAGCTGATGAAGCATTGGACATACTCGATGACGTGCTCAATGAAATTGCCAGTCTTAAATACTTCGTTCTCGATGAAAAGTCGTGAGATATGATGAACGGTCTCTTCAGGTCGATAGTACCAACACACCGTAAGCATTCGTTGATGGTTACTGTTCGAATATGATGGGAGGGAAGGAAAGTCTCAGAATTTCCTGACATAGATTTAGAGCTATAGAATGTAACAGCACACTGAACTCAGAACGTTTGTATGTATGGAAAACTTGTCCCACAATCGGTCGAGCAGGGTTATCAGGATTCGAGAGATGGACCCAATCCCCAGTCTTGAAGACATCAGACTTATATCGAATTCCGTCCAAGATAACCTTATCTTTAGCGCGAAGTTTGAGCTGGTCGTCATTTTTCGGTAGCGCGTGTTTATTTCCAGGTCCCATTGTGACGGTAGATAGCTTGCGACAAGATCCAACAGGGATGGTATCCTCTAAAGCGATGGATCCATCACCTTTGGTCAGTTCTTGATAGAGACGCCTGAGCATATAAACTGCACCGAGACGCTGAAGATCTGTTGCATAAGTCCTTTCGGCTTTTTTGAAGCATTGGTGTAATTCTTGATCGAAATTAACGAGTGACGAGAGTGTACCAGCTTTGACTCGGTCTTCGATAGATTCGAGAGTAAGAGCAGGTAAATCCTCAAAGAGAGTAGTAGCTGAGATGATAGGAGAGGGCGGGACGGTTGTTTGGCCCGAAGGAGAGAGAGTATCGTTTGGAAAGCTTTCACGTTCGTTCTTCAATCGATGAAGGATAGCGAGTGCGATGAGTTGAGATTTTGAGTGAGTTTCTTTAACCCAACCTGTTTCTGAATCTGAAACTCGTTCCTTTGAGACAGTTGGACCATCATCATCTAAATTGTTTTGATGATGAATAGTACGCCTTGATCGTTTTGAAGATTGTTGATTAAGTTGAGAATGAGGTCTTTCATCAGCCGAAGCAGTTGAGTCTGAAGACTGAGATCTTGATCGTTTAGTTGTTGTTCCTGCCATCGATGGTCAGTTGAAGTGGAACTAACAGGGCACAACCGTCAACAGGGCCCTTCCAACTCAAACTCAACACTTTGCCCGAGCAAGACGGGTTCACAGATCGTCGGGGCACACCGAGGTGTCCGGCTCACAAAAGCAACCACTTCATCTCCCTCTATCAAGCTCTTATCAATCATCATTACATCTGATCCATCATCAGGAAAAAGGATTACCATTTAAATCCCTAAATTAAATTCTTGAAGCATCTGATCACTTGTCTCATTTGATCTTTGCAGTACAGATGTGCACCAGAGTGTTGAGACCAAGTGAATATATATAAGGGATTATGTGAGGATATGCACATATCTGATATCCTATACTTATAAAACTGTGGTACATAGTTGACCAGGAAAGCTCATTCTTCAAGATACTTGTGTTGATGATGAATCAAGAAGCAGAATGGAAGAAGGTACAGTCAAGAGACTTAGTCAAAAAACTATCTCCTCCCAGTGCTTGTGTTGATTGGCCTGTGGTAGGGCTGTATCCACTTCTACATTGCCAGGTATGGGAGTGGTTTTTGGCTGATGTGAGGATCAACTGTAGTGCTTAAAGTCAAAGACAATATTTGAATGTCACCTGTAGTGGGACAACATGCACATGTGAACTCCAATCAGTTCTGGACCCAAAGGCTTTGTCTTCACTTGTTGTGTATAGAAATTGCAAATTTTACCAAACATCAAAGATAGAGCACTGAGCCATTGTATCTTAAGTGGATTGTGCTCTATTCCACAAGTTGCATGTTGATTGATTATTTGGATGAGGTCACATGCTATGGCATATAAATGAGCATATTAGAATTAAAGGATCTGTCACAAGATTTCCCATGATCTGAAACCTGATCTCCCATTTTCCCAAAATATAGCTTGGAGTGCCCAGAGCTGCACAGGAGATCCAGAGTCTTGACATGGTTATCTTTGGCCAGAAAGGTGCCCTGAAGGAGACATATCCATCTTTAGTCAATAACAACTGTTAGCTTTGATTACTCCACATTGGAAATTGTGCCAATGATCAATAGCATAAAGCAGATGAAAGATCTACTTCTTCTGCATGTCTGGTGTTGTCTTTAAAGAACAGACGAAATATACTCAATCACAGGCTGCACATCACCTGTGTTTTTGGGACTAGTGGTACTCTATTTATCCCTCTGATGCTTACAGAGCTTTTGTGTTTTGTAATGTCTTTTCTCCTTAGATACATAATCATGTTTGTTATGATAGAGTCTTCAATTGAAAAATTATCAGCTCATCCTTCCTGCGAGATGCATAGAACACTTCCTGATTTCGGGGGACATATCCACCCTGATCTAGGCACTCGGCCTGATAAGTAGCCATCACTTTCTTATATTTCAGCCAATTATAAAATCTCTCAAGAAGGTTGAGAGCTTTTCATCTTGGCTCAGCTGGAGAGTGCTCATTTGAGACTGCATATTTCTAAGGCCAATCTGCTCAGGTACGAGTGGTCTCAAATTATTAGGTAGGCAAGGGTAGCATCAATAGGTCTTCAACATAATGGAAAGGGAATGATACATTTCGAAAGATCCTGGGATTGGGAGCATTACATTCAAGCGGTAGAGGATACAACCAGAGAAACGAACGCTCAACAAACAATGACGTATGACCAAGGAGGTGCAATGAGGTTGTGTACTTCGAAGGTATAAAGCTAATGGCCATACCGGACAAACATCGATAGTGACTGATCAGAAGAAAACGACTAAATTGAGGTAAAAGAGGTTGAATCAGGTCAGCGTCGGTCAAAGAATAAGCTTGGATACGAAAGGGATGAAAACCGAAGGTAAGATCAGACGCATTTATTAATGGCATCGATTGGGTTGTACTTCAGAATAGGGCCGAGCAATTAAGCTCGGCTAGGTTCTCAGAAGGATTGCAACAAGAGTGATGCTTTGCTCATCATATCAAAGTGATATATCGGACAATGGAAAATAGAGAGAAAATGAAGGTAGTTTCATATCGAGAGAATCGCAACTTACCACTGAGGGTTGGTTCATTATCAAGAATGCAAAGATAAGGTTGATGAGCCTTGGCGATGAGGGTAGAGGCCTTGAAGAGACCCCCGAAGGACGAAGCGATGATTAGCTGATGGGCATGTTGAACGGCGTGTTGGTGCGATGGCGATTGCAGACCCTCGAATGGCAAGTTTTATAGCTAGGGATCTTGAAACCTAATGAAGAAAATGTTGCCTTTGCCAAAATTTTGAAACCCACCCATATCCGCAGTCCACAGCTTTACACTCCAACGAGTCGTGTATGTAGGTCGACCTAGGTCCTAGACGGTGACCTAGAGGCTGGCACCCTAGGTGATCTGGTGTCGTTTGGGCTCGTTTGGGTCGTTCTGAAACCATTGGATGCTATTGGATGTCATTGAGATACTCCAAGGGATGAAGAAAGATAGAGACGGGTCTCACGAGGTCTCACGCCGTCAAGGTCCCTCTTTCATATGTAAGCAGTGATGTTGATTGAAGTCCAGAACTCAGATTGTTATCCATGTCATGAAGCAAAATCTTTTGTGAGCCGCTTTAGAGCTCAACTCATACCTCGTTGCCCACAAAAGGCTTTGTTTTCATGAACATCATGACTTGATCATTCAGGTGTTGGGGGATATCAACGCGAAAACGAGGTAGGGCAGTGCACCCACAATTTCACAAGAAGATATTCTTATCGAAGTCGATTTGGACCGTGACTAGTTCGCTGGTAGAGTGACCAAGCTAATGGGTCATTTCGACAAAAAGTGATGGGTCGTGTCAAACTTTGAAATCTCATTCATACAATAATAACAGAATGATATCTGGCCAAAAAGGTATGATAACATTCTTACACATCAGATATATATTTGGAAAAAAGTGACAACTCCAGGATGTCAAAGGAAGGAATTGATATCTAACAAGAGGTTCAAAGGATTGAAATACAAGAAATTGATTACAATCTATTCGAAAGACGGATTGAAAAAATAATTTACATTAGTGTTCAATTATGATAACAACAGGATTCCGATAACTACATCAAAAGGCAATTTCGTTACATGACGCTTCAGATCTAAAAGTTTCTGGAGTGAACTAGTTTACCTGATATCGTCTTCGTAGTGCTTTGATTGTTCGGACATGGATGAGCAAATGAAAAATTTATACATACACAAAAACATTGATGACTGAGGTACAAAACTACTTGTATCTTAAAACCGTGACATATGAGGATAAAAATCGGAATATCTCGTTCGTCTACCAGAAACAGTTTCAATAGGGACTTTTCTTGCTGATTGAATGACAGAAAAATCTTCAAGTTCAAGGTCTGAATCTTCATAATCATAACAATCTACATTACCAGATCCTTTGGAATCACATTTGACATCAAGTGATCGTTTTGAAGCTCTTGAATCAAATGATTTCGTTTGTTTTGGTGGGTTTGTCAATTCTTCAAGTATTAGAGCAAGACTATCAAAGAGTTCCTCGTCACCTCCATCTGATGCTCGATCTTCACAGTGTTGGAAAAAGGGTTGTGAAGGAGGAATTGAGGGTTTCAGATGTTTTGACTTGTTTAGACGAACTACGCTTTGAGGACCTACAGTGACATAACGGCGTGCACGTTTGACAGATTTGCTCGTCTCTTTGGAACTTTTGGTTTTGGGAGCAATTGGTTGAACTTTTTCATTTTTGGGTAAGGTGCTATCTACGCAGTGAGCCAAAAAATCACTACAATATTCTGATTCGTATGTGGTACATTGATTTCCTGCTTGATCGTATGAGCTATCTTGAATCGTAAAGGTTGACGATGAAATGTGTTCGTATGAATCAGACGGCTCTTCAGAGTCAGAAGAAGTGTTGATACGTTGATTGTAAGAGTCTCCGGTAAGAGAGCCACCTTGACGAGCCGCAACAAATTGTTGTGTGCGGTTAAAAGCGACCTCTGGATCAGCTTCTTCAGCGATCGACTGAAAGCTTTCCTTTACCAGATCGAGAACAGAGGCTGTGAAATTTTCTTTGTATTCCTTTGGTACTGTGATAGCGTCGATCTCTATCATTGAAGGCGTCTTGGGGTCTTCTTCAAGTGCAGAGAGAATCTTATGGCCGGAACGCGGATTGGCTTTGCCTTTAGGCAGTGAGCCTAGAGAGTGTGGTCTGGTGTATTGACGGTCTTGTGAGAGAAGATAGATGCTTCGCCGCCTGACCCTTCCACGAGGAGCATAAGAGACCCCGGTTTGACTGTCAGATTCCGAGGGCGGATAGCACGACGAGAGGGGTCCTTCAGAGATCACTGAGGAGCGTGACGAAGGAGAGCCATAGTATGAATTGAAAGGTTTACTCCCGTAAGATCGATCGCTTCCAGTATAAGAAGACAGGCTGAGTCGCAAAGCAGCTCGACAGGATGGTACAGGAGCGAGAGTAGCATTTGCCCAAGCACCATACCAATGTGCCTTCAAAAGGTCGATTTCAAATTCGACGCGACCCGCGATAGCTAAAATTAAGATGAGAAACGACGTATCAAGATTGTGCGTCAGCTTCCGAAGACCTCAACTGATCCTTGGAGGCGAAGTCAGATCTTCATCACAAAATATAGACTTACGGAATCCCGTGCATTGAAGTAAATTGATCGGAAGCGATTCACGCTCGAACAAGATTTGCCAGCTTTCTTCAGTGATACATGGCAATGCAGCGCTAGGGTCTTGAAAACACCAATCCGACAAATCCGCGTCTTGAGCATCATTGTTTGAGCCTCTCAATGTGTCGTCTTGACCAAGGCCAACTTGCGTTGCATGTAATACATCTAGATGCAAAGAGATGCCAACGATTGATGGAAAGCCGTAGCTGCGCGCGATAGCCCATAGTTGCTCAGAGAGCTGTCGATTGCAAATGTGGATCAGTATAACATCACAATGGCATTTATACGAGGACAAACAACTGTGGACGACGGCTTACCGTGGCTTTCAAAGGTATTATGCTGCTCCCCGAGCGAGTCGTAGGTGACGAGACCATCCCTACGAGCGAAGGCCTAGATCGCAAGATGATGGGCGGAACGACCACTATCGTCCAATTGATAGCTAAGCCGTTGTTCAATAGTGTTCTGGAACTCTGCGAACGGGAATGACCCATTCTGGGTTGGTATGATTTTGAACGGAAACCCATGTAGTATATTGATATATACGATAACGAATAGTGATTTAAAGAGTGTGTGATAAGAACGAAAATCTATAAGCGAATAATCAGAAGGAGATATAATAAAAAGATGTATGAGCAGATAGCGAGTGATTTTTTGTTATGTAAAAAGAATTTCCGTCTTGGCGACTTGCATACGAAGGGTTAGTATTTATCTGACACAGGAAGAAGAATTATTAATGGCAAGAACGCTGCAAGAAACTCAGATGTATAATGGCACTGTGATGGGCAGTTGCAAGGTGAGAAATCAGAAGGCTGCGATATACTGATGATTGAAGCAAATTTGGAATACCAGGCGAAGCGAGACGGTAGAACTTGAGCTTGTGAGCAAACTTCTTGGGACGTGAAAAACTCGCAGCCTCTTTGTATCTTTCGCAATTACGAGCAGCGTCCTAAACCGGCCACCGCGCGTTCCAGGTATCACTTGAAGCGGTTAACTTGTATATTTGAGAGACCGTCGCAAAGGAGCATGTTCTTACTTTGACTGAAATGCTGACATATTGTTCTTCTCCAGTGACCCTTCCGCAATTCTCACCTTCGCAGGGTCCGTTCATTATTAATTATGGATTCTGGCCAAAAGGAACTACACGCACGAGCACGCCTCCTTATATCAAAACGTTCAAAGGCGCCAGGGTGATGGATGATCACCAGGGTTGTCCAGGAGATCTTATATACCTTCAAAGTTTCATTGTCACATTCATAGGGGTCCGATCAGATTTCATCCAGTGGTTTCTGGCTCACCATTTGCAAGAAGCTTGATCCTCAAGCACACAATAAGTCTCATGTTGATCACGCCTCTAATTCGCAGTCAAGGTCTCCAAACCATACTGATAGATTCGAGCTCAAAGTCTCGGAAAACCCAAGTTGACATTGCGGCAGAAAAACTTGAAGCCCTTTCCATTTTTAGGCTTACCTGTGGACCCCCAACATCCTCATACTGCCACAGTGAAAACTTTATTGGTGTATAATTTAAACTAGATTTGACTTTGAAGTGAGGGCTTATCAACGAGAATTTGAATTTATGATTTACGGATCGGGAAGTCTACAAGGGATATGTTATTGATATTATTGTATACATGGTCCAGTTTATAGTAAGCGAATGATTTACTCGAAAGCGAAGTGTGAATGTAGCAAAGTAGAAAAGGAAGAATTTTTGAATGCCTTCGAATCTAGTTCGCATAACTTTCTAGTATCGTCGTATTGAGTACATGATATAACCCTTTTAAGAGTATTTGACAATCTAGAATTTAATTATTTCTGTGAAGCTAATTCAACTTCTGCAGAGATCCTATCTTTTGCCCTAACGACTTTACTGAGGATATATATGCTTGTGTTTTCGTTGGCTTTGTGAAGCCTTTCATAAGCCTTTAACATATTGACCAACTCCTCAGACACCACTGGATCTGTAGGTCCACTTTGAAAGGGTACACTTTTGACATTTAAAATTTGACATGCTTCATCAACTGACATCCGATGTTTTCGAGTGATAAGTGAGCTACTTGAATCGACACCCTGAAATGAATTCGCACCAGCTCCTTCTGCACCTCCTACCGAGCTCGCTGTGCCCGAACGGGCATCTGGTAAAAAACCAAAATTTATGATTATCCTATCCAACTTGAGATCGACATTTATGAATTGATGTATATTTTGAAGTCTGACTTACTTCGAGCTGCTTGCTTATAGGCTTCTACAAATGCCTTTCCGAGAATTTGAGAACCTAGAATGACCACTTGAGAGACGATCCGAGGTAATGACTGCCGAACAAGTTGATGAGTTGTCCATTTGTCTCTTTGACTATACGAGTTGAGGCAACACATACCATTCCAATCCAATGAATAACGACGAGCTCCGAGAGTTCAATGTACGATAACAAGATTGACTTCCGAAATTTAAACGTAATATATAATCGAGACTTGAGGGGATAGAGCCTGTTTCAATAAAATGGACTTCAGTTTACAAATCTGAAAAGTTGTGGGTAGACAAGTAGACCATGATACCTGTCTTAACCCATACTATGGACGCCATACTCCCATAGACCAGTTGAAACATCTTTGAAAGTCTATTGAAAGTATCAGAAATCATGTTTAGTGTGCAGCTCAATTGATCTTGGTATTGATAGGGAATGGAATATGTGATCGACCATTTACCCACAGTGTCCGCCAAAAGTATGCCAGATGTCCGGTGAGCTCTCTATGAAGCGTAATTGCTCCTCAAAATGTTCAATAACTCAGGCTTCTTGTAGCCGCGTTCAGGATGAGCCAGATCAACTGAGCATGAGTCCTCTGCCTGTGATTTGGAATTGATCAACTTTGAGCACAGCATGCTTGCATTTTTCATATATTTGGATCACTGCCCATTGGACACATGAGTTGGTTGGTTGATCATCAGTAAACTCACTGTCAATGTGATTGATCAATGGGTGACAGGATACAATTCAATATGTGAAGCTTCTCCAATCTTTCTTACAAAAATAATGGTGGCACTTTGAGGGAAGTTTCATGGAACCATCTATATATATATTCTCAATCCACCAAACAACACCTTTTCCCAGGGGTATAGAAAAGTAATGTGTGCATAGAAAACTATGGATAGAGTACTTTTCTATACCCATACAAAATATCATTTGATACACTCATGTAAAATTTTTGAGTTTGGTCAATTGGGTATTCTCCTCTGAGTTGGCTCAGCTGCATGTATTGAGACCCAGAAGAAGCCACCACAGTTCATAGATCCTTCAGTTCTCAGCTTTTTGGACATTTATATCATGAAATACGTTTCTAATCTCATGCAAGATATTCTTGCACATTCTCAGCAACTATGTGAGCATGTATGTAATATTGCACAGATTGGCAGATTCCATTTACATACTTACATCATTACTGATGGATCCATCATGCTTGCCTGGTGGATGAAGCTTGAGAAGTATTCTGAGTACAGCCATTCCGATATTGCTTCTCGCGCCTTTTTTGAAAAGAAAATGTTTGCGAGCTTGAAACCTAAGTTTTAACTGGTTAAAACCTGAAATTTGGCGGTATCACATTGAATTGCAGCCAAGTTTGAAGTTTTATTGGGCAAAAACTTAGGTTTCACTTTTTCTTTTTCAAAACGGAGCGACAAGCAATATTGGAATGGCTGTATGTATTTAAATTTATTTTACATGGGCATAGAAATCTTGTTATCTGTGGGTATGGAACAAAATGTTTGTATGGGCTTAGAGGAATTTATCTTTATGGATATATAAAAGTACTCTACCCATATTTTTCTATGCACATATTGATTTTCTACACACCTGGGAAAAGACATCATTTGGTTTAGTGTCTCTGATTCACATGTTCTCCTTTTTTTTGATGTTATGCAAAAAGACATATTTGTTCATACCCATCTTGTGGTTCCATCATGTCCCTCTCAAATTCAAATACACAGATCCATAGTTCTCAGAAGGAGATGAGCAAAATAAAAAGCTCAAACAAGTTACTACTCTGATAGGTTAGACACATCCAATTTGACAAAGCCTCTGGTCACACTGTGGAATTATTTTGGGACAAGCTGATAGGTGCAGCAACTGTTGAGCAACTCAGACCTCAAGCACCTGCCCCTCTTGTAGTCCTGAGGTGCTCATTTCAGGCATGTATTTGGGGGAAACAAAAAAAAATCACACAATTGACAGACTATTAAAAGAATTTGAGTTGGAGACAATTCTCAACAACTACAAAAGGTGCCTTTGACAAAGTAATAAAATATAAGTCTCACAACGGCAAGTTGACAAGACTTGATGAGACAAGAACAAACGGGCAAACCTTTGACAAAGTAATAAAATATAAGTCCCCCAACAGCGAGTTGACAAGACTCAATGAGACAAGAACAAACAGGCAAACCTGAGGTTTGACACGAAGAGAAACTTTAGAATTATTTCCCCAGACGTTGAGTAAAAAGAAAACAGTATCCTCTAACAACCAACACACCTTTGACAAAGTAATAAAATATAAGTCTCACAACGGCGAGTTGACAAGACTCAATGAGACAAGAACAAACAGGCAAACCTGAGGTTTGACACGAAGAGAAACTGAGAGAGAGAAATAGAGAAATGTATAGCAAAGAGTTATGTACCAGTAATATAAATGATCAGTGACTCGAATAGAAAGATTGATGTAAGAGAAACAAAAAGATATTACCTTGAGAATTATTTCCCCAGAAGGTGAGGAAAAATTCCAAAGGGAGCAAAAGAGACACGAGGTATATAACACAAAGACAAGAATAACTTCAGAAAGAAAAACACGACATGATCATCACCCCTGCATAACTGTCCAACCACTACACACCAACCTCTTGCTAAACAACTGCATCCCTTTCATTGTTCATTGGTTAACACCTTCTTCGAGTTCACACTAAGATATCGAATGTTGGTTAGTTTAATGTTTAATAGCGTTCGTTAATGATAAGCATCTACAACAAAACTGTAGAGAGTTAACGGTGAACTTCTTGACCAAATTCTCAGTACTCTAACAACTTTCAGGCTCACCCAATGTCCGACACATTTTTGGTCAAGATTGTGACCCATTTGATTCCAAGAAAGAAAACAATTCTGTAAAGAGAGCACTGATAATGAGGCTGTACAATTTTGCCTTGGATTGGCTGCCAAGGCCTATAGGCTATGATCCATCTGGCATCAGCAGATCACTTTCATCAATGATCACTGCCTGTGTGTCTACTTCAGATCAGAGGCAAGACAAGAGTCCAGCACTGGCAGTGATTGATATTTTTCATGGTATCATCAATTATTTCAATGATCTTCAGGGTTGTAACTTTTTCATTTAGATATTTAAACTTGAATGGTTGCTCATCCATTCAGACTTTGAGTTTCTATCCAACAACAAGATCAATACAAACATCATGTCCAGAAGCTCAACAAACCAAGAAGAGAATAAAAGTTCGCACAAGCAATTGGAAATCAATGAACTCCTTAATCAACCAGAAAATTCAAGGTTAATCAGTTCTGGATGGAAAGTGGTACCTCTAAAAATTATAGTTGGGCTTTGAAAAAAAAATGATAAACAATTCAAAACTTGGGGGCAGGCTTTTGAATGGACAAATGATGAGCTACAACCTTTGAATGACATATTGGATAAAGGAGAATTTGATATTTAGGGGATACAAAGTTAAAACTGGGAGTTTTTTCCCAGTTTCCCAGTTCCCAAATACAGCCATAAACGCAAACTGGGAAACTGGGAGAATGTGGGAAACTTCCAAACACAGCCAAAGACTAAAACTGGGAAACTGGGAAAAAAATCCCAGTTTTAAATTTGTATCCCCTAATTGATATCAAGTGCATTTGATGCTGGGAGTTCCAAGGAAAAGTGGGAAGTAGGAAGCAGACAAGTCATTTTACCACTGACATTCAGGCACTGTGTCAACTATGAAATGAGATGAAATCCAATACCTTGGAGCAAATTCTTGGCTTTCATCTTCTTTGCTAGGTTGTATAAAGCATCTGATTTTGGATTGATACCCTTCACCACATAAATTTTGTGATTGCACATTGACCTGCACACACCAAGAGGTATGAAATAAAATCATATGTTTTGTGTTTGTGTTTGGATTGGTAGAATGAGATTCAATGCTCAAAAGCCCTTTGTCAATAGATAAATTGCAGGAGAATCACCCTGATTGCCCCTTTGATCTAGCAAAAAAGTTTTGTAATGACCTTTCTTCAATATCCAGGCCATTGAAGCATTCTTTTTCAACTTTTTACATTCCCACTGTAGATGATATTGGGTGTGATTTGATTTTCAAAAAACTTGATGGAACTTTTGAGCACAGTGGATGTTATAAAAGAAAGTCTGAATAAAGGCAATCAGGCTTCCTTTGTGAAATGGTTTTGCCTTTGTTGGTCTTGGGATCAAAACTGTCTCAAGCTTATGTTCAGGGCCTATGACAAGTCATTTGTACAAAATTTATGTGGTGTATTATAGTCATTAACTTGATCGACAAAAGTATATCAATAGGGCCTCTCAAACCTGACCCGGTTTTCAAAAACCCAGTTGACCCAGTTGACTTTTTGGCAGTAACTTTGTATATAAATTTGACATTTATTGACAGCTCCCAGCCAAAAAGTCAACTGGGTCAACTGGGTTTTTTGAAACCGGGTCAGGTTTGAGAGCCCCTAATCTTTTCAGAGTTTGGATCCAATACATATCAAGACACACACTATGGATTTGCATGTCAGTGTTTGCGTCACAAGCTGCTTAAAGCGCTAATTCAACCTATGATTTGCCAATGGCCGTGTACCAAAGGCTCGTAGGAGCGCAATGGCATGGTGTGAACATGGTTTGCGGGATGAAGGAGTATTACATTAGTGGAGGCACATGCCGCATCAAGTGGCGGAAGTAGCTCAACTGGTCACAATATGCATGGCAACCAAGCTGACATTCACTACAGTTGTTCAAGGCTAGTCTCAACCACAGCTTTATCCGCCCCGGTCCGAAAAGTTGGCTGTTGGAATCCCAATTTTATAGCCGGCTTTATTGTCAACATTGCGGGTAGTTTACCCTCAAGATCATCCAACACACACACTTGCTGGTAAAACTAAGGGTGTCCGATGCATTCTGCAGGAACGAGGCTTATGGGAATTATATGTAACAAAAGCTAAAGAGGCAGGTAAAAATCCTGTCTTCCGTTGTGCTTCTTGTCAGTTATCTGAAACAAAACGCGATCAAGCTGCTCGTGAGGCTCAACTCCGACGTGAAAAGGAAGCACAAGAGGCCTTTGAACGGAACAAAGAATTTGACAATCAGGCCTTCAAAGATACTGATGACCCAATGTGCTGTGCAGCTAAGATTTTAAGCTTACAGTCCGACTTTGCGAATGAGAAGCCCTTGCTTCAAAACATAATCGAAGAAGCTGGTCATATTTGTATATTTCTCCCGAAGTTTCATTGTGAACTTAACCCAATAGAACTCTATTGGGTGTTTATCAAACATTGTAAGTTACAATTCAATCATAATAATCTAAATTCCCTCTTTTTTCTACTTCATTTGGTCCTACAACCGTTCCTAACTGTTCCCTTTTGTTCAATCGTTCCAATTTTTTAATCGTTCCCTTTTTTAATCGTTGTATTTTTTGATCGTTCCCCTTTTTTAATTGCTCCCTTTTTTAATCGTTCGCTTCCAATCCATTCTTTTTCTTTGATTGATTCTTCTTTTGATCAATCCCTCTCTTTTGATCTTCTCTTCCTCATCAATCACTTCCTTTTGATTGATTGCTTTTGATCACTCCTTTTTTTAAATCACAAATGGACCTCTCACATTTACTGATAATCTCTTGACTTGAAGATTATCAAAAATACAGCATACATTGCAAGTCCTTCAGTGATTGTAAGGCTCTCTTTGAGACAGTACGGAAGATTTGTCCGGTCTCAACCATTCGAAAGTATTTCCGTAAGATTGACCATCAAACGGAGATCTATCGGTGAGTGCAGACTTTTGTTCTTGTATCTTTGTACCAATACTGACTTGATGGTCTCATAAAGACAAGGCTTCACTGGTGCCCAAGCAGAACAATTGGCCAAAGAAAAAATTTATCGCTCACATAGAACCATCTCCTGCCAGGCTGGAGTGACAATCGATTGTCAACTTAACCTTCAGGACATGTTTCCCACTCTTTGATCACTCATCTTTTTTGAAGATCAATAAGATCTTCTTTCTTTATTTGTTTATCATTATGGATTCAGCGGAATGAATCAATTTTTGAGTGCTGCTCTGTGCTGCCGTACTTATACAAGGGCCTAATTAAGCTACCCTAAGCCCCTAGGTACCTGATTAAGTACTTAACTAAGCTGGCTTAGGGTCTTAAGTACCCCAGGTCCGAAATGTGAGGTGTCAAAAAAAAATTAAAAAAATCCACCCACCCAATTGGCTCAACAAGTCATTTACAGCTTAAGGAACCTTTCAACAGGACCCTGGAATGCGTCTATGGATGTATCTGACAAAAATCAGGACCTTTTGTTGGTGATGTTTTTGGGCACTAAACTTCACTTCACTGACACCTACAGGAGTTTAAACGATGCGCCAGAGGCAGGCCTTTCAGCTACACTAACTTTCAACCGCGTAGCTCCAATACTTCCTGAGATATTTCAATGTAACAGCCAAAAAAGGCCCATATTTGGAAGGCCCTAATTGGACCTTGGAGGCCGAATTTTTTTTTGCGCCTTTGCGATTTCCGTCGAACTGAGCAACGCTACAGGTCTACGACCAGGCTCATTGGATAGCCCTGTCCCATGCGCATCTTTTTAGGTGTCTGGGACCGCGAGGCAGGTAGTGGTGTGTAGAGTAGCACCCAAAAACCGAAAATCGGGTTTCGTCAGATACATCCATAGGCGCATTCCAGGGTCCTCTTTCAACCCCCCAAAAATGACTTATTACATGTCATGCATTAGTAGGGGTTAGAGGAGTTGTGTTGTGTAATTGAATTTCGTTTTTGCGGAGCAGCTGTGGACGAGACTAGCCTTGAACAACTGTATGCTCACATGGACGAGAGGAAGTGGTTCACAGAAGCGAATAAATGTACGTGTTCAGGTTCAAGCTTTTCGTGACATTGCATCATTGATAGACAACGGCTAATGAACTCTGAGGATCTCAGAAGAATAATGGGCAATGTAAGGTCAACTTGCACAAATTCACGACGGTGATCAAGGGTAATAGTGCGACATAGTAGGCAATAGAGAGTATAAAGAAGTGTGGCATGAAGATAGAATTGCATAGATCAAGTACAATCTGTTCACGACCGGATTCTGGAATAGCAAGGAAAGGTAATTTGATGAAAGTAAGTCACCATCAAAGCCTAACATGTGGTAATGAACGTGGAAAGGTAACTTACTTGAGTTGACCCATGAAAGCGGACTTCTCGGCGGCAGTTTGGAAACGACCGTGACCGAATTTGGAAGAAGTATCGATGAATTTGAGGTGAATCTTCTCTAAATCCCTTCGGGAAGTGTGAGTCATGAGCGACTTTCGCAGTGTGATGACACGTTTCTTGACACCAGGTACAGATCCCTATAAAGAAAGACACAGTTAGTCAATATGAGGGGTGGACCGGGAGCCACTGGAAGCATTCTCACCTTTAGCATAAGGAAGTCATTGTTGACAACACCGTATCGGACGAAACCACCCATAGGAGTGATGGCCTTCTTGGTGGTATCAAATTCAGTAGTAGCGTTGGCTTCATCGCCACCTTTACCGACTCGGAAAACCTTCTTGTTGAGCCTACAAATGAACAGGTTTATAAGCCTCAAATCAGTCAACACGCAGATAGGAAAGTACCCACTCAGTTCGGTGATGGTAACCGTTTTGACCAGCACGGGCAACGGTGAACATGACCTTCGATGGATGCCAAGCACCAATACAAGCGACTTTACGAAGACCCTTGTGTGTCTTCCTCGGAAGTTTCTTGGTTCCCCATCGATGGGTTACACCCTCGAAACCCTTACCCTTGGTGACAGCAATGACATCGATATTCTCATCTTGCTCGAAGATAGAGGATACATCGAAAGTTTTCTCGAAGTGAGATTTGGCGAAGTCGACTTTGTCAGCAACTGATCCACCGTTGACTTGGATTTCCATAAGATGGGCCTTCTTTTGCTTGAGACCAGTCTTGCGGATTTGAGTGTGGGCGAGAACTCGAACAACAGTGCAGTACTTGCGAATACGTTCCAATTCTCGGGCAATGGAGCCGGTTGAGGACTCGGCGTGCTTCTTGGCATACTTGGTGAAGGCTTTCTTCTTCGACCTGTACCAGTTCTATGACAAAAGAGATCAAATACAATCAGTACAACTATCAACGAGCTGAGCAACTAGTATGGTGTAGAAAATTTACTTTGTAAAAGCGACGTTTGACTTCGTCGGATAAATGCTCGGCCCAGACGGTAGTAAGAGAACGGAGACCACGAGGAGTCTCGACGTATCCAACAACACCGACGATGACCATAGGTGGGGTTTCGATGATCGTGACGGCTTCGACGACTTCTCGCTTGTGCATCTTGGAACCGGGTCTCTCAAGTTCACGGACCTATCCCCATCGGAAGCAACGGATAAAAAGTGTAAAAAAGAGCACTTTGAGGCACGGGGAGATGTTATCTTACGATGTGAGTCATGCCGGCCTTGTAACCAAGCATGGCAGTGAGGTGGACAGGCTTGGTCTTGTCATCTCGGGGGAAAGATTTGACTTTACCGCGGTGTCGGGCTGCCTGTATAGATGAAAGGATCGATCACGTTCGTCAGGTTGGTTATTGGCTCTCCTTCTTCAGGATGCGCATACTCTCGCAAGGAGACAGAGGCGCATACCCTTTTCCTTGGCAGAAATCCAGTAGAACCGTGACCTAAAGAAATTGAGACGCAGATGAATGATGAAGTGGTTAGGGCGCGGCGAGGATCACTTGAATTCAGAATCTCGCTACGCACGAGGGTGTTCCCATTTTCGGTGTGACATTGTCGGAGTCGGAGTCGAGTGCCTGAGGAGAGAGTGTGTTGGGATGAGATGGATGGTAAAGGTGAGATGACTGCAAAGGATATATGACTGACCTTCTTGGAAGAGTCTTCGTGTAACAGGGAGGGTGGCGGGCCAAGAGCTGAAATCAGTCGGTATATTTTCAATTTTCGCAGCGGTAGTGATGACATTCACAATTGGTGGTAGTTAGGTTAACTACATGTAAGTCACCAACACCCGTGACAGCCTTGTGACAAACCAGGGATGAATACAGCTCAATTTGCTCAGCCCGTCGAATTTGGAGAAGACCATCACGTCTGACCAACATGCCTTGAATAGAAACCAACTTGACAAAGCTCTCTGCATCATCTGAATCAACAGAGATTGCGAGTAACTGTGAACATATTTGAAATGCAGTCTGGGTGAGCCGCTTAGAATGTAGGGTAGGCTTTCAAGAGAGGTCTGCTGAAGTGCTACAAAAAAAAATGGTTCGCAAGAACATTTCTAAGTATTCAGATTAGCTCACGTTGGGCTGGGCGCTAGCAGATAAAGTGTGCTCAGTGAAATGGTCTCTTCATAATGGAAGGGTACGTATATCACGCTTCAATCCACTCCTTTTAGACAGTTCAGGTTCATCTCAAGGCCATTGCGTCGTTCGATTGGTCATTCTTCTACGATGGCCCATAGAAGAATTACCTCTGTCAACTTTGCCTTTGACGGGTGCCTCGTAGAGAATGAATGTATGGTGAACCCAAGGTGTTTTGCTTGGAGGTATTGATGACTAGAAATGTACTATGGCACAAGGGTATTACAGGCTGATATATTTGACGGGAGCCAGGAGTGCAAAGATAAGTAATGAATGTATTTGGAGCCGAGAGTTGAGCGGGGTAGAAGCGTAGCGATCCTGAAGCGTCAAGAATCAAGGACCTTGGTTGATAGTTAGAAAGTTTATGCCACTTGGAAACTGTAAATAATGATTCTAAAAATAAAGTGAGTGAAAAGGACAAAAAGAATGAATGTATGCTAGTGTTTGATGATGTCTTCTAAAAAGAAGGTACAAAAAATGTAGCGAAATTGTAAGTGAAAAGGAGATGCTAAGTTTGATCTGATGTGATCCCGGCAAAGGGAAAGCTACTCTTGCACCGGAAGAAAAAACATAATCTTGATTTTTTGCGGCTGAAAAGATGATTTGCTGAAAGTTCTGAATGGCTTGCTGCTACAATAGCATCTTCAAAGGCTAATTGTATCTTCTCTTCCAAGGTCTTGACTTTATGCCATTCACGCCAATTATCCTCTGATCCTAACACCGCAGCCCTAATCCTTTGAGTTCCACTCCTCATATGCTCCCACTCTTCCCGTAGACAGTGCTAAATCGACGTGTCTTGGTCAACCCTGGCAGGAAATGTTGAGCTGATACATAGTACCCAGGCTGAGTGTCGATGCTTTAGCTAGTGCGCACGGCTAAAGCTGTGAAGCCACCGTTGAATTCGAATATGGTGAGGGATGGCGACTTCAAACACCGTAAAGCTTCATTTGCAACGCACACAGCGTCCGCGTGAGTTGGCCACCAAGTCTTTTTATGGAAGTCGGGCCATGGAGCCAATTCCGGAACAACGCGAGGTACATGGCCCCTTCAAATCCGCATACTACCACCATTATCCTGTCACACATGGTTGCATATCAAAGCTCGAACCGTTGAACGATCCTTGAGCTGCTTGATCACTCGTATTGATAAGACTCGATCAGGCTTTTTCCATTAAGAAGCGTGTTGTGCTCACTGAGTAGAAACTTCCCGCTGGCTTTGACAAAGATGGCTCATAATACAAAGCCCTTCTCGAGCGTACACTTTCGCGTGATGGGGGTTTCCAAGGTTTTGAGCCTGAATGACCGGACTCAAGAGCCTACTCTTTTCGATTTTAGCTGTCCTATGATGTTGTCTTGTAGACGGCATAGGCATGGAATCAGTAGTTGCGACATTGGTCAATTCTGAATCAGATCATATTTGAGAGTCAGACTTATGACCTTGGCATTGTTCGTTCACCATAACCTCGTATATTTTTTGAGATCAGAAAAAAAATCAAAAGCCACGCTATCGAAGTCTTTGAACCTATTTAAGGATCAACTTTTGCAAATATTCACCCAAGCTCATCATCAATCTCAATCACCTTACATAGTTTTTCCATTGATTCAAGAATCAAAAACCACGAATCGCATGATCTGTTCAAAGCTTCATTTTTATATATATATCATTTGTTTTTTAAAGATCTTTAACTTTTATACGATTTCAGAGTCATAGTTTAAGAATTTCAGTTATTCACTTGAGAAAAATATGTTCAAAGCATCTTGCGTTCTAGCTCTTTTCGCTGTCCTCGCCAGTATCTCTCAGGTCGAAGCGGGAAAAGGATACTACTTTGTCACCGGCCGTAGGTCTTCCATACTCTCATCTGCAACAAGGCTCATATGCTAACCACTCGGCTTACATCTGTTTTAGAGACATGCAATACAGCCTGGATCCCACCGAGACCGAACACGAAGGACAACGGCAATCGTAAGTCTCCCTCTGTGATTGTATCTCAAAGAACTTTATCCCAGAGCTGAAGTCCTTGTCAAATTTCCTTGCCTTTTCTCAACAGTTTGTATCAATACTATGGGTTGGTTTTCGTGTCCATCAGGCTTTGTTGCTCTAGATCCAAGTCGATCAGTACCCAGTTAAGTGCTTTCCATATAACACATAACTTTAAGCATATGGAGAGTGAGGGCTTTATTGCTTCATCATCATCATCTTCAAAATATTCATTTTCTTTCAATATTTATCAACAACTCATTGGTTTTTCATTCGGCTGTTCTTTTGTACAATACAGATGGTCAAGATTGTACCTATTATGGAACGACGGTCAAAAACCCAGCCTGTAATGGAGGCTTTCAACGTTTTGGAGACTTTTGTAAATCAAGTTTTCCATCAATTTAAATCTCATGACATTTGATCTATATGACTGCTTACTTATTTTCGCTTATGTTTATTTCTTGCCAGACGAATGCTACTTGAAGCTCGGGAACAAAGATTATTACAAATGTAACAGCGTGGAAGCAATGAGTGTGTTATGATTCCATTTCAAAAAAACACTTCTTTATACCTCTTTCTAAGACTTTGTGACTAACACCCTTGACTTGGTTTTCTCTCTTCGTTATTCAAAGCCGGTACGGGAGATGAATGTGCCAAGGTGTAACAAATGCATCAAAAGCCTGAAGACCCACTGGTCTATTCTTTTTGTCATTTTTTTCGGTTTTTCTTTTCTTACATCAGTTCTGGGTATCAAAATACAAACACCTTTGTTTCTCACTCGTCTCGACACCATCTTTCACCAAAACATTCTTCACAACCCTACATTTCAATGTATCTATGTATGCGTGTATCATTATTCCTTTCGAAAGACACTTGTTTATATACCTTTCTTTGCAATTCTGGTCCCTTGGATGTTACGTAATCCCAAACCTTTGATCAGAGATGCTACAAATCTTTAGAACAAACCTGGATGAACTCTTCATGTTGTATCAAACGTTGCAAACCAAATCCCACAAAAAGAGCCAGGTATGAAGTGACAATGACAGTAAACAACTCTTGCAAGTTTTCTGGAAAATCCTAAAATGCTATCCAATCACACATTTTTTCCTGTTCTTGGTAGTACTCAAATCTCATCAAACCAAGTTAATTCAAGTTCAAAAGACAAGTAACCCTTTTTTTCTTTGCATACAAGAATGGTAACATTCCAAAGTATTCTAACCAATTGTTTCAAAAGTGACAAGTTCCATAACAAGAGTCAAATCCAATCACATTCTTTTTCAAAAAAAACCCTCAAGTGTATCCACATACATAGACTCTTACCAAAAAAATATATATCATTTAAATCAGAAGTGCTATGAAGATGATCAACTGAAAATTGTTACAGAAGATCCAAAAGCTATCTTCGGCTCTCCTAAATTTCTTAAACCCATTTTATCATGATTTTCGAAAAATAAATCTCCTATACACAGTACCAATCAATGCGGTGTATCAAATTGAACACTTTTAAACTCCATTGCCTATTTATTGATAAGATTCAAATCCAATCAACAAATCTTTTTTAGGCGCAAGTCGTTTGATATAACAACTACCTAAACCTGATCATGTATCAAAGAATTTTCATTCACGAGTGACTTGCTTCCATATCTTCATTATAACAATTTCATGATCTATATACTTCTAATACTAATCCAAACCAAACCATAATCTACAATCTCACAAATGATCATTCTTTTCTAGTTCTGTTCCGAATTTGTATGTTAAATTCATTTGATCATGAAAAACTTTAATTAATAAAATGATTATAAATATACATTTCACAAAAAATACATTCATCTCGAAACCTCATTTGCGCATTCTTCACCTGAAGATATGTTCTGTTGAAAGTAATTAATCAAATTGATTAGAATTCTTAGTCTTGATAAGGTGTCTAGATCTGATACAGAGTAAAAAACTTACCTATCATCAAATTAATACATGGACCATGTGTGCTCAAGTAGCAAGATTGTCATACATAAAGAAGGTAATTAAAATAATCCCATTCAATAACACATCATGTCATTTCATTCCGAATTCTCCGATCCTGAAGCCCCAAAAAGTTAGGTTCCACTCAAAAACGAAATAATCTAGTTCAATACTTACAGCAACGATCCCTCGAACATGTCGAAGGACACTTTCTTCAATTTGAACTCTTACCAACTCACTCCCAAGTGCATCTTTCATTCTACGTAAATACAAACAATGTTCCGTAGCTTTCCTTTTTAATTCCAAAGCAGCTTCCCTGAAAAACGACCGACCGACCCAAAAAAAATCAAAATCAAAAATAAATGATCAGAATTAAGAAAAAGAAAGATACATACAATCCATCTGATCTTCTTAATAAAGCTTCCCATTCTTGTTCAAGTTTTTCAATCGTAGCAGAAGATCCATCACCTCTACGTAATTCTCTAATCTGTCTCAAAAGTCTAACTTGATCAATATCTGCTCGACGTGGTAAACCTGAAACAGTTCTTCTTTCGCTTCCAGTTCCAATTTTCCCATCACTAGCACTAGCTTTCAATAAATTATCATGAACTGTTGATAATCGACGTTCAGCTACCGATGAAGCGGGTGGGGGAGGTGGTGCTGGTGCTGGTAATGGTACTGTTGATTTTCGTTTCTTTGAACTTAACATACCAGTTCGATCTGGTTTTCCTTGTGAAGTAGAATTACGATTAGCACGTGATGTACGAGGTAAGGGTTGATAACTAGGAATCGGCGTTGAAGGTCCAGAAGCGCATGGAGAGTTAAAAGGGGTCTGAGTATATCTATCATCATTGGCCAACCGTGGTGCACGTGGTGGTAAAAATAAACCCGGTGGTTTAGGTTTGGGTTGGTTGGTGTTGTTCAGTACGGATGAAGATGATGGTAAAGATAAATCTGAGTTACGTTGTGCGAAAGATGAAGTTGAAGAAAGATCGGTTTCAGGTAGATTAGATCCTGATGCACTACTAATAGACAGTCTTAGTGCTGATGATGAAGCTTGCGCGCCAGAAGTAGTAGTTGAAGGTCGAACAAAAGGTCTATTTCTTCGTCCTTCAACCGTAGAATCATTGAGTGAGCCAGAAAGCTCTTCATTTTCTTCATCCTGATGATTACTATCCATCAACCCAAAGCTTGAATCAATGGAGCCTCTGTTCTTTTGATGTTGATCAGGAGAAGCAGGATCCTGTGGAGAAATCGAAGGACCCGTCACAAAATCTTCCAAAAACCTTGCTGCAGCTTCTTCAAACACTTCAGGATACTGTTCACGAACACCTGAAAGAGCTGAAGGATTAAGATTTCCGAAATCCAATTCATCTACAAGTGGAGAGATCGAACCGGTTTCTGAACCTGTTGGATGAGTAGGTAAAGCTGATGAAGAATGAAAGAGACTTGGAAGACGTTGATTGAAAGCATCGGTAAAAGACCTCATCATGGGTTGTTGAACACGTGCTTGACTGAAGGCACCTTGAAAGACAGGAGGATGACGTCTGATGGCGGTAGGAGGTAGAGAACTACTACTGATCGCAGGTGGTGAATCGGGTGGAAGGTTGAGAATCGAGGAAGTAGGATCTTCATCTTGCATGGTAGTGTTCTCTTGATTTAAAGTTTGATGATAAGTTGCACTAGTTTCATCATCGAGACCTGCTTCATCATCCGAACCCCATAGATCGCCTTCCTCGCATTCAGACGAGGCTATCTGAGAGCTTGGTATCATATTGAATTGAGTTGATTCTCGAGTTTCACAAAGTGAAGTTTGAAGGAGATTGATATGAAAAGATGGAGAAGTTACAAAGTTTATTGACACTCACCATCAAACTTAACAAAGTCCCTCGCGCCAAAGGAGCGAGGGACTTACGGCTAAAAACCGATTTCTCGCGTGAGAAGTCGCCTGTATCGCCTCAAAAAACGCTACTTCGAGCTGCTTGCTTTGTTTCTAAATAAACAGGCCTCGAGGTAAAATAAAAAGATGACGGCCAAGGTTCATTACATATGATCCATTTTCAAGCTCCTCAAAATCTTGTCTAGAAATCTTGCTACTGGGGGATCAATGATTGGTCTTCAGGACTGCTGGGACCCTGTATGGCGGAGCTGTAAATGCTGCGGGTTTTAGCCATTGGGTCAGAACGCGCCAAAAATACTTGGACCGCGATCAAGACTTTTAGAGTCAAACTGCAGTTTCAGTCGCGTACACCATCAGCATACCAGCGTATCGGACTTACTTGTATTCCTCACATTCCATCATGCCTAGTGATTCAATCAAAACTTTGCAATTTCTTTGAATCACTGCTGAAAATTTCGAGGCAATAGCAGAGTCAAACATCGTACGGGTCGCACTTATCTACCCCATAGCGTATCATGTGCCTTTGGGAAGAAATCATACGAGTCAATCATTGCTAAGAATGATGTTGATGTTTGATGTCAATACAAACATCTTTAAAACCGTACCGGATGACAATAAAAAGCTGATATGACCGATCTGGAAAGCTCTGAAAAGCGCTCATATTGCTGAACGCGTTCCAAATGCGAAATGTCAGGAAATCGGAGGGCCTTTGTGCTTCCAAATGTCGCAATTTTCTTACTGATTGCGGTATCACAATAAGTTTTGGATTGTGAGTGAATTAATAGCAACATATCTCAGAGTAGAAGTCAGAGTCCAACCCGATAGCACCTTATCAAACTAATTGTGTTTCAACTTGGGTCCGAAAGGTCGGTCACGCATTTGGAAAGCTTTCAAACGCCAAACCGGCTACGCGGACAAAAATTTTGTAAAGTAACTTTGGATGAACACATCGTCATCGAAGTTTTGATCTCAGGGACCTCAAGCCCACATCTAGCTCATATAAGCCTTTACATACTCCCAACGTGCTCTTTTGTCTTGAATAACTGCTTTAATACCCTTCACTAGAGCTTTAACATCTTCAGACGTTTCTATACTTCACTGACAGTATGAACTCCAATATCCCTTCGCTTCCTACCCCTGTCTCCGGCCTACCAGCTCGCATCCTTAGTGTGTGCAACTATATCCAGAAAGTTGGCCTGTCTCCTAAAAAGTTTATTCATGGCTTTATTACCTTGAACCAATCAGATCTAATTTACCGTCGTCGACTAATGAGAGCTGGTGTTGGTGAAAGGGAGACAGTAGAGATACTAGAAGGTTTTGGGGACATGCTTCGAGGTAGTCCAGAGGGGTCAGATATCTGGATGGATTTTATTTTAGAGCAGGTTAGATCCTTGCTTGACATCTATACAATCAGATTTCTATGACTGACATGAGTATATTATTTCCACTGTCCAGGCTTCTGCCATTGTTAATGCCCAAAACGCACCAGTGGGCGCCTACCCACAGGGCTTGTACGTTAGTTCGAACAGCATTAGCGAGGATTTCTTTACTCAACATGCCGAGGAACGTCGTGAAAATATAGTGAAGGGTTCGATGCCGTTCTTGCACAAGCTGATTTTGAGAAAACTGCAATCATCTTTGGAATTGACCGAAACTACGGATGAAGACTTTGATCACAATGTAGATCAAGATATCACGTCAACTGCACCAGCTTCTACTAATGGAAATCCTGATTCAATCTCCGACGTAGCGGACGAAGCTACGATCCTTTCCTTGGACAACCTTGTCTATGTATCAAAGCGGGGAGCAGGCTTGAAAGACCATAAGTTGAAGATGGTTAGCTACTTTTGTTGATATTCGATGATACCTTGTTGTTCATAAGCTCATGTATTTATGAATCATTTTGTAGCTTCCCTTTACCATGTGTTCCATGTTAGCCTTCGCTTGCAACCGAAGAAACAATGCTCTACAAGTGTTAAATGGGGTGACCTTTGTTGCAAGTGGGGTGACCTACCGTGTCAATGAGTTTCTCCACTCGATGGCTCTAACGGTCTCACATGAAACTTCTATTTGATTCATGGAGCGATTACGTGATTTACAAGCTGATCGACTCATCTACACTTTCAAAAAGTCCCATGTGATACGCCCATTCCTCTGCTTTGATAATATCGATATCCACCTCCGAATCCACAATCACCGAATGGAGACATCTACTCAGACTTTCCATGGCACATGGGGGTTCTTTCATGTGCCACCTCCTCATCTTCTAGAAGGCGTGCTTCCTGAGGAAGTCGACTTGAAGGCTTTCAAGAAGGCCATGGCTGCTGCTGCTGATTGGCCTGTTGAAATGTCAATGTTCATTCCGACTCCTGATCAAATCACTCATTGGAAAGGTGTCATTTTAGCTCAGCTGGCGGATGTTTTGAAGACCTATGTTGAACATCTACCTGGTGATAACGCTGTAAAGCTACCAGTTCTAAAAACTCAACCTGCATCTATTGATCCAATTCAAATATATCAACCCAATATTTTCTTCTTACGCTTAATGGACGCCCCGGATTCCTCTGCAGAAGGTGTTTCTCAAGCTTTGGAGGAGGTTATGTCTCAAATAGGTGTAGATGTTGATGAATTTGCCAAAGGACTCCTGTTTGCTGAGGGCGATGTAGGATCGAATGAGCTCGTGGAAAGCTTGCGTCGCAAGCACTTTCCTTCAAGTAATATGGAGGACTTGCTTCGCTGGATTGTCACTGTTTTCGGCCCGGCTCATGCCACTTGGAACATGTGCAAGGCATTGTGCTCAAAGCACTGGGGTGACTCTAAGGATGGCCAGGACACTGGTGCCTGGCAAACAGTGGAGGCGTTGGGTGGGACTGCGAAACATCCCTCGCAACAGGATTTTAATACTCTGATGATGATGACTAAAAAATCTCATGATGCTTCACTGTTTTTTGTATTGACGTAAGTACTATGTTCTTTCATTCATTAATAGTCACGAATTGTATTCATGGTTGATTAAGACCAGAACTATGGCTTCTACGTAGGGAGGTTTTGGAACAGATTGGACCTCTGGATCTGTCGCTGGAGGACGACTGCGCAGAACTTTTCAAGCGAGTCTGGGAGCGATTTTTCACACCTGCGGCTTTTGATTCAGCTCGCAAAAACAACAACACCACACATATCAACCTACTCTATCGTCTACGCGACTTTGCCACCATCATTGAGGCGCACAACGCGGCTCGAGCAGGTGACATAGGTAGGTTGATGCTGATGTGGAAGTGGTGGTCGATTATGGCTCAAGGCATCACAGGAATGTCTCACTATTCACGCCACCTACCTCGCATGGTACTGTTGCTGGAGCACGATCTACCCAAAAAGATGGCACACGTAGTTAAACACATGTTGTTGATACCCTCAAACGGCCGTTCAACAATACTGTATGTATTTTATCTCAGTTTAGCTCACTCCCAGCTTAATTTGGCTCATCATCGTCGTATTAAGGGAAATGGAACCGATATACATCGCCTGATGGATTGATTTTCTTCAAACATACCATTGGTGGGTCAATTTTTAAATTAACATTTGAAATTAAATGAATCTTATTGCTCATTATAACCTGCATTGGCACCATCAGCTTCGGCTACTCATTCAACAGTTGAAGATGAGGTCCGGTCACAACGTAAAATTCCAAAACAATGCCAATTCAGTATCCACAGAATCGATGAAGAATTTCTTGCGTTACGCTCGAAGCAAGATTAGTAAGATGTCATCCACTGATGTGGGTAAGCCGGTGTCAAACACTTTTGCTGATGGTGTTCAGGCCATGATTCGCACTATTCGGACCGAAAAAGCCTTGGGTCAAGGCTCTCGATTCCGATGGGGTGGGCAAATTTCGGGTCAGGCAGGGGAGGAAGATGAGGACCCAGTGGTGGATGAAGGAGATCAATCTGATATAAATTAATTTTATCAGTGTACATGCAACATAAAATCGAAATGATCAAATTTACCTCTGACTCGCTTTTACGTCTCTTTCCATCTTTTTCGGATACCTCCCCACTTTGTTCCCCAGGGGGGACACGTTTATTGAGACTCTTCGAATTTGCCTTTTTCCGTGCTTGATCCTGTGCCTTCATTTGTTGTTTCTGAGCCTTGATTATGGCCTTTTCCTGTTTGATCGCATCATCTCGATGTTTTTTTTCAATTTTAGCTTTTTCTTGTCGGTCTTTCTCGAGCTTGGCTCCCTCAATTGACGTAGGAACAAAAGGCTTCGGTTTAGATTGGCGAGCTGCAGTGATATCTTTCCGGTACCAAAGCTCGTGAGATTTGTCCAAGCCGGATTTCCATTGTTTGATGCAGTCCGAGAAGCGTTGGTACTGCTGTTCAAGCACTTCTGAGCCTAGAATTTGATCAAAGAATGTTGGTTCTTCCATGTCTCCAACATTTTTGGTCAATTCCAAAGCCAGATCTTCGGAAAAGAGGTGTTCGGGTGTGATATCACCCGATTCAGCAAAGTTTTGATGAAACAGTTCTGAGAAAGACTTTTGAAGTTCATGTACAAGGTTTGATCCGGCAGGGTTGTCCCGAATGAGATCATTCTTTTCCACACGCTTTGGAACCCAAGAGGAATTCTCTTGATGACCATTCGGAACGGCTGGGCACCCCGCTAATAGTTTTCTGAGCTCGATGATATCCATCTTGAGAGCTTCATCCAAATCTTCAGAGGTGAGGTGAGGTTGAAGCAGCCAGATAGCGTCTGCCTCCTCAGGAAGGCAGTTCGAGCAGTCGCAAGGTGGCATTCCTTCTGCCTTTTGGCGAGCATGCTCGCCTGCCACCTCAGGTTGTTCTTTTGTCAGAGGGATCCAACCGTGCCTAGTGCGTAATTCAATAATCAGCATGTGTTTGACACAGGAGTATTCCACTAGTGATAAAACTCACTCAAGATCAACTGCCAGTGCCACTCGAAGACAAACTGGTGTAATAGCAAACACATCCATGCGATCATCATCAGACATTGCTCGGGTGTTTTTGAAGTCTGCAACAGTGTTCTTTGAGCGACTCCTCTGAGACTCAACCAGCATGATACCCAGTCCTCGCCGACCATCACGACCGGCCCTCCCGACCATCTGAATCACATTTGCTGGATCCTGTCGACCAACAACAACCACACGCCGCACACGATGCCAATTCTGGCCTAATCCTAACGCCAGTGTGCAGCAGATCACGGCCAGTTTGTCTTCAACAAACGATTTAACAGTTTCCAACTTATCCGAACGACCTGTCGACGCGTGGTACCGTCGCGCAAATTCATTCAAACCATCGGAGGCAAGGTCCTGGCGGCCGCGCGCTTGGCAAATGATTTTGACGTAATCCAGTGTAGCATTCTGCGTGCCTGCGTATATCAGAGAAGGAGGAATTGATGCGGTTGGAACCTGTGATTCATCCGAAAAAAGGCCTCGAAGTGAAGCATTGAGAGGCTGCTTAAAAGTTCGCCGAATCAAACGAATCTCCGGTCGAACGAGCTCGCCATGATAAAACTGAACATCCTCTCTTTTGATTTGAAGATTTTCTAGAATTGCCTCGATTGCTTGTGGTCGGCAGGTTGCTGACATCAAGAGCAGAGGAACATCATCTGTGGCCAAGAAACGCCGGGCCAATTTTCCATAGTGAGGTCGGAAAGATCCTTTGTCCTGGATCTTAAGATGGCTGATACATGTCTTTGCCTTTCCGGACTCGACAAGTCCCCATGTGCAGATCATATGGGCCTCATCGACAACTTTGAGGATCAAGCGAGACTGGAATATGGGATTTTGCCATAGCTTCTTAAATAGACGGTTGGTGAGAGCAATTTCTGGACTCTGAAATGTTTTTCGAGTAAGTTACTTGTGTTTTTCTGAGACCAAATAACTAAACTTACAAGATAAACATATTGGTATTTTCCTAGTAATATATCGTTGGTAACATCTTTTGTGATTGTTTTAGACGTCAAGTTAATTGCTGACTCGTGTACTTTTTGCTTCTCCAGCACCTACATCCCCATTTATATTCATTTCAGCTTCAATCAGACTGTGAAAAGAACATTTGAATATGACCTGGTCATCGCCAAGGGCATCCAACGGGCAAATGATGAGTACCACTCCGTCTGTATGCAAATTTTGAAACAGCTCGGGTATGCGACTCTTCCCATATCCTGTACCCGCCAGAAGAAATGTTGTCTTCTTATTCAAGAGACTGACAGTTGTGTCTATCTGTAGTTCACGCGCTGGAAAGTTAAATCGCTCTAGGAACACCCTGCGAGCCTCTTGTGCTTGTTTGACTTGGCTTGCCTTGGCGAGGTTGCCAATAGGAAGCGGCTTGACCGGGATCCGCGTGACAGTCTGAGTTATCTTTGATTGTTGAGCTCGAAGGGAATTTGCCTGGCTGCGAGTCAGACGTGACATTTGATTCAGTGCAAGAAGATGATTAAAGCAAAAATCAAGGAAGTGTGCGTAGTTTTTGGTTAAAATTCACACCGCGTAAAAATATGGGACGCGTCAAACTACAGTTTCAACTTGTGGTTGAACGATCTTGATTGGAAGTTGGCATTTTTTGCCGCCGCAGCGGTTTAAGCTGGCTTTAGGACATCAGCTGTAGTGAAGCTCCTGCATCTTGACATCTAGACAAGATTTTGAGGAGCTTGAAAATGGATCATATGTAATGAACCTTGGCTGTCATCTTTTTATTTTACCTCGAGGCCTGTGTATTTAGAAACAAAGCAAGCAGCTCGAAGTAGCGTTTTTTGAGGCAATACAGGCGACTTCTCACGCGAGAAATCGGTTTTTAGCCGTAAGTCCCTCGCTCAAGCCTCGGGCCTTTGGCGCGAGGGACTTTGTTAAGTTTGACTCACCATACAAGTCGGATCTCACTTCATCGACTGCTCCGACCTGATCCGCCACATCTTTCCACTCGGTCCTTTTACTCAATCAAATCAAAGTAAGACCAAGAATGATAGGTTCATTAGGTATGGAATACGTGTAGACTCATACCGACATATAAACATGACATGGATTCCACATGTAATTTTTTCATGTCATGTTTGGTCAAAATTCATCTCCGAGCCAAAAACCGTCCGACATGACTCATACCGACACACATTGACATGGATTTTTGATTCAAAAAAACCGTGTCGTAACATGAGTCATCTCATACAACATACCATCCGGGAAGTGCCATACTGACACAACATGACACCAAATGTAAATGTCTCTATAATCAATCCAATTTTTTGAGTACATATTTCCTTTTCATCTTTCATAACACAACAGAATCAAACAAAGCAACAAAATGAATTCACAACCACAAATTGAATTATATTCAATTTAGTAAAGTAGAATTGATGACCAAAGATCAATAAGAAATGATAAAAGCTGTTAAAGAAAGATCAATTCTATAGCCTATCATGTTTCTTGCAGTTCTCTTGATCAATCACTTGTGAGAGCTGATAACTCACAGAATTGCTCATTTTGATACAACAAAAGTAGTCAAATCCATTTCACCTTTTGACTTGTTGAAAAACTTGCTTCCTCTGGCTATGTAAACAATCATCAACTTTAAAATCTCAATGTTTTTATTCAATTCCTTTGAAATTTTCTGAGTAAAACAAAGAAAACAAATCAAATCAAACTGAATACATAGACCAAGAAGTAGAAAAACAGCTACAAGGCCATCTTCAATTGAAGGAAATTTGCTTGAATTGCAATATAATACATGCTAAGATAAAATTGAATGTATATCATCATCATTTGAATTATATACCAAATCAAATCTTTTGTTGATTTTTGTACAAGTAATGAAAGAAAAATTACTAAAAAAGGAAAACGAGCCAAGCAAATCTGAACAATTGAACTTTTTGTTCATTAGAAGCAGGATTCAATTTTTCAATTTGATTGTTTTCAACTTTTAAACAATTGATTTTTCATGAGTGATAGTAGTTGTCAAAGGCTTCCTCATTTTTGATGTTCCATTCACAGGTTGAATTGCATTAGCTACAAAAGCGGATTGATTTCTTTTTTTTTTGATTTTTTTGGTAATAGTTCAAGACAGCAACCCACTTTCAGTGTCCATCCCACACTTGGATAATGATGACTAGGCTTGCATAAGGTCTGTGTCGAACCCTACCCACAAGATTCTGGTGCGTGAAGCCAACCCAGTCTTGGGGAGGACAAGTACAGTTAAACCTCAGCAGTGACCATACATCATCATGATCCAAAACCAATTTGATAGAGGAATGGCATTGGTGAGATCAAGTAGTTCCGCATTCACATAGTGAAGAATGAACATGCAAGATCCAATTCCATCCTCTATCAAATTGGCCTGTGAGACTTCCCATCATGGAAGAAAGAATTAAGTTTTATCTCACATCATTCTCATGATTTAGATAGATAAATCTAAAGATAACAAAGTTGGATTACTTTGAAGAAATTGAAATGAAGTGTTTTGAATTTAATCAATGAGATTGCTTGATTTAATTAGGAACTAAAGATTCAATCTAATTTGGTTTGATTGGATGATGAGCTGTTGAGATGATTGATTACAGGTGAATCAGATGGAGACGATTGATTTTCATTGAATCAGATGGATGGAGTCTGGAGATGATTGATCTTGATTGAATCGGATGAAAACGATTGATTTCGATCGAATCGGATGAAATCGATTGATTTTGATTGAATTGGATGAAAACGATTGATTTTGATCGAATCAGATGAAAACTATTGATTTGGATTGAATCAAATGGAAACAATCGATTTATCAATTGAAAATGAAATTGTTTTCATGTCTAATCACTAAAAAAGGTTAAAGCATTGTTTGTTGAGAAATCACAAATGGATTGAAAGGGGGTGGGACCGAGAAGAGGAATCTAAACCTGAGCAAGAGAACAGAAAAGCAAGGGACTTTTGATGGAAAATTGATGAGTTCCAAGTTGAATATTGTGAGTAATTCAAAGATAGAAGGAGTTGAAATACTTACCCAAAGAAACCAAAGTGAGAGAAGGAATGGTTGATGATTTAAAAGGTACTTTACTCCAGAGAAGGCATATATTGCAACCTATGTACCGGTGGTGAATCGGGTAAAGCTATTAGATGTGATACAGTGTGATGTTGTTTGTCGGTATGACACTTGTCGCCATCAGACCATCCGCATGACTCATGTTACCACACGGGATTTGGAAACAAAATCCATGTCGATGTGTGTCGGTATGAGTCATGTCGTACGGTTTTTGGCTTGCGATGAATTTTGACTCAACATGACATGGAAAAATTACATGTTTAACCCATGTCATGTTTATATGTCGGTATGAGTCTATACGTACACCGTAATTAGGGGAGTTCAAGTCAAAAATCCCGAGCGATTTTTTTTAAACTCACGGTCCACATTTTAAGTCTTCATGATGCTTATAAAGTGTGCGAGCGGTCCGAAAACGGGTTTATATATAAGTTTTGAGTGACTTATAATAAAAAAATACCACCCTTGAGACAAGGTACCAACGCTTAAGAAGGAGTTAAAAAAAGATGAGGCCGGTGAATTTCATCCAAAGAACCAGAAAATGTGAAAAGAACTGAACAAAAAAAAATGACCGTTGAATTTTGCAAAGGAAATTATCAAAAAAGGCTAAGATGAAGAGTTTTGAGACAGTTTGAAAAGAAAAGAGAAACAAATTGAGAAAAAGGAACGGAGAAAACCAAGGAAGGGTTCATCAAATTGACCCATATCCTTGAACAACTTTTTGTCATCATCTTCAATTTCTGTGATGCCACAAATCTCCGAACGTGCTCAAACCGTCCGTGATCTCACCCTGGCCTGTGTGTGGGAACACCTAGAGTCAATGAATGACTTCGCGATATACGACGGCGAGGAGCCTGACTTCCCTACCGATGGCCAGCTCTTGTATCCTGACGATCCCGAAGAAGCCGAGCTATATGATCAGGTTTACAATCACGAAAATGAACTAGCTGAGCTACTTGCTTGGGTCAGCGAGACTCAATATCTTGTTCCACGGTACAAAGCGCCTCACGCCTCTCCATTCAACCTACACGACATGCTTCGGGATCGTCGCACAGATTTCCAACAAGCCATGCGTACCACTCCTGAAGGTTTTGAAGCCTTGAAGAACCTTATTCAGGACCATCCCAGCTTTCTGTCGAACAGCAATAACCCTCAACCCCCAATTGAGAAGAAATTAGCTATCACTCTGGAACGGCTAGGTAGTAATGGAAATGGAGCATCAGTAGGCCGGTTCTCACGTAACTACAAGGTTAGCCGTGGTCAGGTCATCAAGTGCAGTTGGCGAGTGATTGCGGCAATCCTCGAAAGAGGTGATCATTACTTAACATGGCCATCAGCGGATCGACGGAAGGCTATTTCAGCTGTTTTGAAGCACGATGGATTCCCTAAGTGTGTTGGATTTGTAGACGGGACCACAATCCCTTTGTATCAAAGGCCTGGTGTTGATGGAGAGGTCTTCTTTGACCGAAAACACGCCTACTCAATCAATGCGCAAATCATTTGTGATTGTGATCGGCGTATCACTTATCTCTACGCAGGCTGGCCCGGTTCTTGCTGCAATAGGACAGTCTACGGAAAGACTGATCTGGCAGCACATCCCGAAAATTATTTCTCGCCAGGTGAGTACAATTTTAATTCGAATCTGTTTTTAAAACTTGGGCTGATGGATTCTTCTGTAATTAGGTGAATACATCGTGGCTGATTCAGCCTACGTTGCATCAGAAACCGTGGTACCTTCTTACAAAGGACCAGCTGCCGAAGTTGACCGAAATCGAGAATTTAACTGGTGTGTGGCCAAGGCGCGTGTTCGTAATGAGCACTGTATTGGCATTTTGAAAGGGAGATGGGCCTCGCTACAAGGCCTTCGACTTAGATTAGATAAGAAAGAAGATATGATACATATACTCGATTGGATCAAGTGTTGTGTCATCCTTCATAAAATGCTTGCTAATCTTGGCAACACATGGGATGATCTTATTGAGCCAATCATCGAAGACAACCCTGATGGAGTTTTGGATGGTTTTCACATCCCTTTTGCTCGCGGTGCGGAAGCTACTGAAAGAGGCCGTTCAAAAAGGGAGCAAGTGCGGGATCATGCGGTTGCCTACAATTGGGAAAGTGGGGTCCTACCAATAGTTGATCCTTGCCTTGCGTGATCAAGTTTAACTGTTGTTTTATCTTCGAAGTTTTTCTTTGGTAGGTTTTTTAGATGAGCATTTCTATCTTAGAAGTTTTTATTTTTTAGATGAGCATTTTTATCTTCGAAGTTTTTATTTGGTGGTCTTTTTAGATGAGCATGTTTTCTCTCTCTTGTTGTATTGTATAATTGTATAGAGGCAATTTCATTTCAATTTTATATCAGGCAAGTTTTGTAATATTGCAACGCTACAAGGGAAAAGAGAAAGGAGGCATAGGCATAGGCATAGGCATAATAGGCATAAGCATAGAGAACTACGACAACAGTTAGTGTATCTCACAAATACAACTTCAAAGAACTTGAGCGAAGGAAATCAAGAATCAAAAGGAAAAACAACGGGGAATTGATTTAGTCAAAAAAATCAAACAGTAAAAAAAAACATATCAAATGTAGACAAGTTGAAAGACCTTGAACTCAGTTCAGATCAGTTCAGATCAGATCAGATCAGATCAATAAGAAACAAAAAGATTGAATAAAATTGAAATGAGAAGCGTTTGAGTCTAAAGGATCAATTTGAGTTGCATCATGAGAGGCTGAGTCCAACGAGAATAAGGTGATTTGATTTCATTTGAATCTTTGGTTTGATTCAATTTGATTTGTTGGTTTAAGTCTAACGAGTTGGAAGGATCGAACATAACAAGGCCAATTGGTTATTGATTTGTTGGTTATGGTAAGGCATCATTTAGATGTCCTGTAAAGTAGTCGATCAATTGATCAGTTGGTTGAAAACATAGAGAGGATAAGAATATGGGAAAAGGATAGACTTACGAAGGTACTGGAGGACCAGAAGGCGATGGAGAACGAGAACCAGCGGAAGGAGGAAAAACTGCAGCAAGGTATTCAGAAAGCTCTTGAGGAGTTTTGCCAGCCAAGATAAGGTTGCGAGCAAACCTGCTACGTTCAGCTGTTAGGGCTTGCTTGCCCTGCTTGTGCAACTTAACTTTTTCCCATTCCAATGCAGCTACTGCCTCTTGGCTTTTCTTTTCTTCTGCAGCTGCAGCTTCTTTTTGTTTTGTTTCCTCTAAGTTACGGCGATATAAGTTGTTAGCCTGGACCTCCTTATTTCGATCCGCACTGCTAGTGATCAGTGCGAGAGCAATTGGATTCTTGATATCCTTTGCTCGCACTGCCAAAGAGTCAATAGGAGGAAGAGGTTGCATCGGACGAGAGGCAATGGTTGTGATTGGGCCAGTGGACTTGCGGGACGTTTGCTTCACCCTCTTCTTGGAAGGGCCAAGAATTTCTGAATCATCATCGCTTGTCGAAGAATCTAAAGCACGTTCTCGAGCTGTGAGAGAATCCGATTTCCGCATACAATGTTTCTTCTTGGATGACTTCTGAGTGGTTGAAGCTGGTTGTTTTTCAATAACCTCTTCAGTCTCACTCTCGCCTGCGAAGTAGGAAGGTTAAGATCAGTAAACCAGTAGTACTACTAGCTGTGAGCTTGGATTACTTACAATGATTCTTTTTGGATTTCTTTCCCTTTGGTATCTTTCCATTTCTAGAAGCGTCTTCAGCTTTGCTGTCGATTTCGATTTCGATTGGATCAATGTTGGCGACTGTCTTTGATTTCTTTGCCTTCGGTGTCACTGTGCCTTCAGATTCACTGTTGAATTCTAGCGCTGGGATTGGATCAATATTGGCTGGGATGAGAGAAGTAGCCGTGATATCGTTGTTGTTGTTGTTGTTGTTAAAGGTGGTGGGAGAGAAATTTCCAGGGATACCAATCATGTAAGCATCAATGTGATAGTCAGCCCGAGGCTCGATTGGCGGTGGCAGGGGTGGAAAGTTATAATCTGCAGGAAAGGTGTCAATCATGCTTGTAATTGTAGCATTTGAAATCGTTGAAGTTGGATCATAAGCTGTAGTTTGTAAATTGGGAAAGTACGTAGTTACTGGTGCTTGTCCATTTGGATAGAGAGCTGTCGTAGTTACTGGTGCTTGTCCATTTGGATAGAGAGCTGTGTCTGGTCCATTTCTGGTCGGATAATAATATAGATCATCTTGAAGTTGTTGTTCAAGGGTTAGTGGTTGATTATAAGCTGTGAGATGAGCACTAGCAGGGGTAGAGAGAGGTAGTTGATCGAATTGTTGAGTAGAAGCTGTGAGATGAGAACTAGCAGGGGTAGAGAGAGGTAGTTGATTGAATTGATCGAATTGACTGAATTGTTGAGTTGAAGTGGTGAGATGAGAACTAGCTGGGGTAGAGAGAGGTACTTGATTGACTTGTTGAGTCAAAGCTGTGCGATGAGAACTAGATGGGGTAGAGATTTCCCCAGGGCTTCTAGTGAAGGAAGGTATGCTTTGTTCTTCCAACCGACCGTCCTCGGAATCGGATACATGAGTAGTTTCGTATTCGGAAGGGGAAGGGGAAGGGGAAGGGGAAGGGGATCCTTCGTCGTTACCTTTTGCGTGTTGAGAAGGTAGTCCGCTGTCCACAATCGCAAAGGCCTCGACATCGCCCTTGTCTTTGAACAGAGCATCCATCTCGTTAAAGGAAGGGCACTTGCTCTCTATATACGCCTGCAGACTACCATGCTTTGCAAGATCTTGTTCAGATACCCCAGCCCCGGTTCCTTTAATGATTGCCTTGACCTCCTGGTATCTGGCCTTGTATCGAGTTAGGTGTTGTTTTAAAGTTTTTCCGGTGAGACTCATTGGTAAACCATTCGGTGTGGATCTTGATCGACTGAAGATGTGATTACGTTTGTTGTAGGCTTCATTGATTTCGAGGGCTAATGGCTTGAGAACAGACATCGATCCCATAGGTAACCCCGTAACATTGGTTCGACGGCCACCACCAAAGATTGCTTCACGGTACTTTGGTTGAGATAAGGCGGAAACCACGTGTTGCCAGTTGGCTAGTTGAAAAGCAGGACCAGAGTTAGAGCTAGAATTTGGAGTTTCAATCTCGTCAGCTTTTGATGGGATTACTAGAGATTTTGAATTCGATTTCGATTTCGATTTCAATCCCGAAGAGCTTTCTTTTGAAGCCGCCGGAGTTGGATGATGACCACTGGTGTCCTTGGTTGCAGCACGTTCTCTTTCTTCTGCAGCCAGAAGAGATTGTTTGAGCTCGGCTCGAGTTTGCTTGCTTTTTACAGCTTGCCCACATAGAGTCAAGTGTGCTGCAATTTGGGCTTTCGTGCGACGGGGCTTTTGTGGCTAGATGTATCCAGAAAAAGATACCATCATCAGTATGAAGTCTTACAATCCAGAAAGGTCAAATGACGTACCACACCAGTTTTGGTAAGTACGGGAGTTTTCTTTGGAGGCATCCTGTTGAGAAGGTCCAATAACGAGACTTGATTTGATCGAAGAAGATCGTGAGAAGGTCCAATAACAAGACTTGATTTGATCGAAGAAGATTGTGAGAAGGTCCAATAACGAGACTTGATTTGATCGAAGAAGATCGTGAGAAGGTCCAATAACGAGACTTGAAAGAACTGATAGTGGCGAGGCAAGACTTGAAAAGAACTAATAACAAGACTGGATTGAAAAGGATCTTCAAAGAACTGTAGCGAGGCAAGACTTGATTGAAAAGGATCTTGAAAGACTTGATAAGAACTAATAACGAGACTGGATAAGAACTAATAACGAGACTGGATTGAAAAGGATCTTGAAAGAACTGTAGCGAGGCGAGAATTGATTGAGAAGGATCTTGAAAGAACTGATAAGAACTAATAACGAGACTGGATTGAAAAGGATCTTGAAAGAACTGTAGCGAGGCGAGAATTGATTGAAAAGAACTAATAACGAGACTTGATAAGAACTAATGGCAGCGAGGCAAGGCGAGGCAAGATTGAAAAGGATCTTGAAAGAACAGGAGAAGAAGACCAATAACGAGGCGAAGTGGATTTATGATTGGGAGGTGAGTAATGAGACGAGTGTGAACAGCCTTGAGATGAGATGAATCGATGAAAGGGCCAGTTGATTTATAGCCAACGTGAGATGAACTTGATCCAAAAGGCTTGAGATGAATGAACCGAGAAGGTAAAGATGTAGGTGAAATCAAACGGCCGGAAAGATGAAATCGTAATTTGTTTGTTGATTGTTTGTTGATTGTAAACTTGACATGATTCATATCAACCCCGATGTTGATATGGATAGGCTTTCTACGTGGTGATAGTGTGGTGATGAGTCGAGGATATGGGTGAGCCGTGATAGTGGAGAGTGTGGTGATGAGTCGAGGATATGGTGATGAGTTGCTGAAAGGGATTGCATGCCGGTTGTTGTTTGGATTCCGCAGCCGGGACCCGGACAAGGGATATGTTACCGATATGTTACCTTATGTTACATCTACATATATGTAAGAGATATGTAGGTAGGTTTCCTGGCTCCGAACCCTCGGCCCAAAGTGACTTATCTCTGCTGCTATGGGTTCAACAAGAGAGAAAAACTTTAAAAAGTGTGTTGAAGATAAACAAACTACATTTTTTTTTGAAACAAGACCGTTGAAACAGCATAAACTTTGTTC